ATCAGCTTGTTTGTTTACAGAACTGGCTCTCACGTACCAAACACGTATTTGTGTGTAGAAGATCTTCTATAACACTGTACTGAGTTTAGCTACGGTACTGAGGGTTGAATAATTAAATCATAAGCCTCTCTCATTCACAAATGCATGCTGCTTCTGGTAAAGGGAAGCAATTAATCAGCTACAAAGACAGCCATGCTCGAACTAATAGGGCAGCACTCTTGTGATACAAAGCGTCGTGTCTGGCCTATGTTAGTAAAAATCTTTTTGACTATTAAAATGAATTACTTACATAGGAACTAGCAAGACCTTTTATTACACTAAATGGTATGCTTGCTTTAACAAAAATGGTTGCCTTTCTAACAACTCTTGTCTTGTTTATATCTCTAGGTTATTATGGCTACAACACTGCTACTACTTATGTGAATAATTAATAGTTATGTAATTTACTGATAGAGACATTTTAAGGTGGCAACTCATTAACAGAAAACTAAGTCCTCACTTTCATGGTTGTTCTGAAATACAGCCATACTGTGCAAGCATGAAAAGAGCAGACCCTGCAACTGCAATGCAAACATCAGCAAAGCCTCACAGGAGAGCAACTAAGAACAAGCCCTGCCAGCCTGGTCCTTTAAGCTCAGAACTCAGCTGCAAAAGCAGGCAGCACTTGATGATTCAGAGGAATGCAAAGCCTAACCGCTTTCTTGCCTTGCAATTACAACCTAGTTAATTGTGTACAACTGCGCAAAGGAAGAGAGTGAGGAAATTCCTTTCCTGACCCTTCCAGCAATTGACTTGTGCCCTGGAGCATGAGATTTGATTACTCATGTAACTTATTTTCCTAAGGCGGTTTGTTGTTGATAGTTCTTGTGTGACAATTCAATAAAGTTTTAGGGCAAGTCACAGAAACTCCTCGCTGGCTGAACATCATCTTTATTTTCTTTTTGTTTGATACACCTCTATTCTGTGTGCTGGATTAACAGATTTCCAGATTGTAGCTCAGATGACAAGCAGAACTATCAGGAATGATTATTCTTTTTTCACCAGAATGGTACAAATGAATGCAGTCATGTTCCAGGTTGCCTTTCTGTTTAGTAGAGATTCCCAGTGAGCCTTAAAAACCAAGATTCCTTCACAGCCAGCCTACTACAATGTCTCAAGATGTCTCTGATGACGTTACAGCAGAATTACCACTTGCTTTCAGAAGCTCTGGTAGTGAAAAGTGTTATTATTTTTGAGCTATAAGCAATTGTGTTAGTATTATTCTGCAATGGCAAACAACAGCTGGGTTTCCTTACTGAGGCAGTGGTTCCAAATGCTCTGGTTACATGCTATAAAGCACTGAGTCAGTACAACCCCATTTGTTGCCATGTGCTGCTCAAGAAGGGTGCAATTGAAAAATCCATTGGTGTGCTGGTGATGCTATTTCAAGAAATGTGGCTTTGTCTCTAGCACAGCATCTCAGATCTGTGCTGCGCCATGGTTCCTCTTCTCATCAGTCACTCTAGCACAAGAACACATTGGACCTTTTTCAGAAGAAGAGGGCAGGGAAAGAAGTATTCACCTGGATCATTCTTTTGACCTGGTTTCCACCAGTAGCTGCATCAGCCCACCAAAGAAAGCCACAGACTATAGATTGGGAACCTAAATGAATACGTAAGGCAGGAAAGGGAAGAAACTGGACCAGTTTTGCCACCAAAGAAAAAACTGGGTGTAACTATGCCCAGAGTCATCAACAGATAGCTTTATCTTGACTGATTTTGTCAGGTCGGTGTTGTCTCTCCTTCTGCAGGTAGCACAAAGCCAGAACCAGCTCCTAGCTGTGGGCTCTGGCTCACTGTACGGAAACGCAGTCACACCCACACCTGATGTGGATAAAATCTGTAATGCTAAGGGACTGGTTAAGGGAGAGATGGTGACTATGAGTGCCTGCTGAGAGGTGACTTCGGTTTAGAACTGGCTGAAAAGATTTCTCCTTCCCTGTTACAAAAGCATGCTAATGAGATATTTTTATTACTGTTTTCAATGCTCCTGATTAAAATATACTTCCTGCAAGCTTTCCAACAGTTGATTTTTACTTATATGAATTACCATGGAAACTACTAAACCTTTATTGAGCATGCTGCATACTCAAGGATGGAGAGTTTTAAAGGCTTCCATGATTTGCAATACAGTTGACGTAGCAATGATACCGCCATGAAGATAGCTCAAGCTAACTAGGTGGACAAGAGAATACATTAGAAACTCCTAGTTCATGTGCAAGTTTCCATACCCTTTTTCCTGATTTTTCTGTAATAAGTAGTGTTTTGTTGCTTTTGTCACAAGAGCAGGCAGGTTGCACCTCTTTAGTTTTTGGAGTTTCACTTCTTTGTTCATTTTTGAGTATTTTTCAATCATAAAAGATTCAGATGCGTAGTTTATGTTACAAGTTGCCAGAGTCTTGCTTGTTAGACATTCCAGTTTATCAACTTATTTCATGGCTCTAATTATGGCTGGCTTCTGTATTCTTTCCCCGATAAGAAACAGATGACACTGATTTGGGTAACGTTACATACAAGGACTGTTCTGAAAGTAACGCCCCCTATTTCAGCCCATGACATCAGAGGCAGATACTGGTGGTACGGTAGGACAGGCTGAACCTTCCCATCAGTATTACAATACATTTAGTTGCTATGTGACAGATGATAGCAGATGGGCAGTCTGACAAAATAGCGTCTGATGTGAAAGTGCTTATGAAGCAAAGGTGTGTCACTGAATTCCTTCTTACAAAAAAAATTGCGCCCACGGGCATTCATCAATGCTGGCTGAACATTGATGGAGATCAAACAGTGATGCGGTGAGCGGTGTGTTTCAATGGTGGTGACAGCAATGTGAAAGGCAAGCCACTTTCTGGACAGCCATGCAAATTTTTACAAGTATGGCATACAGACTCTAGTTCACTGTTGGAGAAAACGCATAGCAATGGTGGTGACTATATTGAAAAACAGTGTTTAGTAGCAGAGAATGTGCCCTATCAAACAGTGCTATTGTGTACTTTGTATGTTGTAGTTTCCACAGAAATAAAGAGGAGGCGTCACTTTTGGTCTGACCTACCTACATCTGTGAGGGGACACACACACTCAGCCTCATCCAGCTTTGCTGACGCCCCACCTACTGTGTAGGAGCTAACCACAGGAACAATTCAACAGGCATATCTGAATTCTTTCAGAGGAAAGGTTTGTACCTTTCTAAGTTACTCCTTTCCGTATTAGGCTTCATTTTCCCTAGGGAGGTTTTTGCAGACTACTATTACAGTTTTCCCACTCAAAATAACAAAAGAAAACCCTGCGAGATGAAGGCAAGGCTGGCTGCTTTTGGCTCTGACTGCAGGCACTGTTAAAAGCCATTCTCACTTCTTCCAGCTGTGAGCACGTCCTTAACTTTGCATTCCCGAAGTGTATGTGGCTTTATTTGTTTAACCGTGTGGACTGATTGTTTGTTTGGTGAGCAGAGCAGAAGAGCCAGGCTCAACACCAGCAGTAGATGAAGCCCCCAGAAATCACAGGGGAAGAACTCAGCTATGTTCTGGCCTCTTGGAATAACTTGTCTTAAAAGCTTATCTTTTTCTATGAAAACTGCAATAGACACCAGGACAGCCATTACTTCTTTAGTGTTCTCTGGGACTGAGGGTGTTATAAAACAGATTTGAGATCTTTAAGAGTGATTATAGAGTTTGTACAGTGGTAAAGTGATTGTTTTAGCCAAGTAAAATATTCCCTGGAAAATGCAAGACGGGCTCTAGATCATAACTAATGCTGCAACTAGGACCAGTGCAGAGTTTCTGTAGTGTGTTGGGTCTGCGTAGTGCTACCCAGGTGCTATCCTGTGCAGAAGGTGCTTGCTTATTGAGTCACAAATGGGAAATGTCAGGGCATCAAAATGACACTGCACTGAGCAAGACTGTTATCCAGGACACCCTGGCCCGCTGCCCCCATGTCATGGGGGATGGGGCTAGTTCTCTGATTGCTGGGGCTTTCTTCACGAAGCTGAGGATGCATACATGCTGAAGGAGCAACGCTGGCTGCGTGTCTGGCTCTTGCAAGTCTCCTCAGAGACCCTGGAGGCTCCTTGATTTGCCCTGGTGACAGTGACAGCCCTGCTGCCTTATTGCTTAGCAGCCTCCCAGACCTCTGGAGGTGCCAGCGTCCCCAGCCTTCTTGGACAAACACGTCATGGGCTGGGTGCACCATTTCAGCGAATGCACCCTGCCTGGTGTGCAGGGCCATAGGCTGCTGGCTCCCTGCCCTAGGACTGCTAGTAAGGCAAAGCAACCACACAGCCTTCGTGGGGCCTCTCCAGGACGCCACAAGTGTGTGCACGCACAAGTCGTGCTTGGTGGTGGTGTTCTTCCAGATGGGGGCAAACTGTTCGAAGGTCCCACAGGTGGCTGCCAGGCTCAGCCCCAGGGCAGCCCCTTTCCCTCCTGGGGCTCAGGGAGCAGCCTTGCCCTCAGGGCTCCCAGGAGGGCGCAGGTAAGAGCACCCCCGGCCCCGGGCGAAGAAAAGCAAGCCCGCACCTTCCCGGCAGCCGCCCTATTTGCTCAGCTAATCTCACGGGCAGGAAATTGCCTCATGATTAATATTTATGCTTCGGAAAACGCCTGCGGAGGCCCCCGGGGGGCCGGCTGCTCTCGCGGGCGGCCCCGATGCTGCCCCTCACGCCGTGCCGCTTAGCCCCCGCTGCTGGGGCGCGACGGGGCAGGACCCAGCCGGCCGCCGCCAACCCTCTCCCTATCGCTCTTTCCGCTCTTTTCTCCCGATCGCCTCCTCCCAGCCCCACCCCCCTATTCCGGCTCTTCTTCGCCTGCCCCGCTCCCCCGACCCCAGCCTGCGGGGAGCGAACCATTCCGCCCGCGGGGGTACCCCACGGCCGAGCCCTGCCGGGGGCGGCGCTGGCTGCTGGGCTGTGCTGCGCGGTGCGGGGGGCGGCTCCCGGCGGCGGCGGCGGCGGCTCGGGGCCGGGACGGGGCGGCGGCGGCGGACGGCAGCGGGATGCGCGGCGGCGGTGAGTGCGGACCGGGGCCGGCGTCCCGCGGGGTCGGGTGGGTGCGCGGGAGGACGGCGTAGTTTTGTCTCGGTGCCTTGCGCTTCCCCCCGCTCTCGTACCTGGCTCGGGGACGGCGCTCTTTGTCCGTGCCTCTTTGTTCGGCTGCTGGCTGCTGGGCTCCGCTGGGAGCCGGCACCGCCGGGTGCAGCCTCGCACCTGAGCGCCCTGCGGGAGCCGGGCAGCCCAACCGGAGAGCCAACCCTCACGGAGAGCAGCCGACGGGTCGCATCCCTCCCGGAGCGCGGTGCAAACCGGCGATCCCCTGCGCTCTCCTTCCCACCTCCGAACTGCCCGAGACGTTTCTCTGCGTGGAGAAGTGTGAACGGGCTAGCGGTGCTTACATAAAGGCTGGAGAGATGGGGTTCTGCCTCCGCGAGCTTAAGCACGCCGCTTTTGTCACCAGTTCCTTTCCACCAAATGCTCGTCTTGTCACCGTCGCTGCGCACCTTGACGCCACACGTGCCATCTCCAGGGCGGCTGGTGGGCGCATTGCCCATAAGAACGGGGCAGTGAGTGATCTGTGGGGTGTGTACCTCTCTTGAGGGGAAAGAGAGAGATGGGGAACATTGCCTGTTCTTAGATTTGGTGAATTTTATTTATTTATTTATTTCTTCCCCAAGCCCCCACGATTCTGATTAATAAGGGAGAAGGAAGAGATGCAGGGTGAGGAAAGGCGTGGTAGAGCCAAGTGGGATTGGGCTTGCTTTGCTGTAGCAGAAAGAAGGGATGTAGGAGAAAAAGAAGTTAGCAGAACACAGGAGAGTGCTCACCTGTGCTGTCAGAGAGGGAATGGAGAGAGTGATAGTTTTTAGAGGCTACAGATAGCAACACTTCACTCTTGCCAGAGCCACTGATACCTTTCCTGTGGTCTCTTTAAGTGGTTCCTTTTCTGCACCATAAATGTCTTTCCGTTTTGTCAGATGCTGAATCAACTTTTTTGTGTGTCCATGTTCTCACTGAGGGAATGGAAATCTTTGACAGCAACCAGGACAGGAAGAGCAGTCATTTTTTTCTAAATTGGTTCTTATCGGGGCTTGCCAGATGCCATCAGCAACTGGTTTCTTGAAATGGTCATGAAGTTGACCATTTCAGGGAAGGAACAAAGTCTGACTAGGAGTATTTTTTGTGGGAGGCAGAGGGGTGGGTGGGGTGAAGTTTGCATGTCTGCCTTGAAGTTGGCTGGGACCTGAAGAATTGGGGGGTTTTGGATCTGAAGGACTCTAGGAGATTTTGGATGGAGAGGTCTGGTCTGTTTTTTCTGCTTCAGGATCCTGAGAACAGCTGTAATAATGAAAGTGGGGGAAAAAGTGCTGATTGCTGGTGAAAGAGTTAATGCTGCCTTCACTGTGCATGTAGTGCATTCTCTCCATCTTCATTTGTTAAAGCAAACAGATAATGCTGGTGTGTAGAACAGCCAGCACTGCAAGCAGTGCATCCCAGTGCATTAGCCAACCAGCTGTAAGGTGATGCCCTGCTTAGCGTGTTCGGAGCAGATGCTTGTTACTCGGCTTTTGTTTCGGAGCAGTGGGGCACAAATGAGGAAATCTGGGAGTTCTTCCCCGCAGAAGGTCCTCCACACACCTCAGCATAGGAGGGAAATCTATAAACGTGAAACTTGTTTTTCTCCTTCTCAAGTCCCATGCAAGCGGGATCAGATTTTCAGTGAACTATTTAGCTAACTGCCTTCATTATATTAAATGCTATAACTACAGGTATAGCACCTGTATTCCTCGCTCAAGGGAACAAAATCCTGCTGATAAGTGCTGTGGTGTGTCGTGTAGGCAGGCCTGTGGTTTGGTAGCACTGCTGCCCGCAGTGGGCACATCCCGACAATTTGAAGCTTCTCAAGCTGCCGCTGTCATGATGTGGTTTGCTGAACAATTATGATGTGAAGCATTGAGTTTGGGGGCATCTCTGCTGCACTGAGAGTGCTGGAAAATGAAGGCGCGCTGAAGAGCTGGAGGGGATGTTTGGAAATACAGGGCAGGCGTCTCAGGAAGGAGACAAATTGAGGAGAAAGGGACAAACGGAATAAGAGAAACTGTCAGAGTAAGTGGGCAGTGAAGGCTGCTGATTAACAAAGGAACTGACAGGCACAAAGTGGCAGTGAAAGAAATCAGCACAGAAGGAAGCGGATCATGGGCAAAGGTTGGCTGAGAGAGTGGGAAAATGTAATAGGAAGATAGGGGAAAAATGGTAAGGATGTCCCAGAAGCAACCCTGGCATCCACCCTCACCTCAGAGGAAAAAATTAAATTTTAGGAATTGTTCTGAGTAGTTTTTCTAGCCTCTTAGATTTTCTGGGGCTCACTCACCTGCTGTGTATGGCAAGTTTTTATTGAATGTATTAGGGCATCCTAACAGCAAATGTATCCTGTCAGGTTAGGAAAGAAGGAACTTTGAAGTTTTTCTGCTCCTCTACGATGTATGAGTTTGGATTCATAATTTTTTTTTACCCAACCTTCTTCCTCAAATTTTAGATCAAGAAAGTCTGCATTTCCTGGGTTTCACATATGGAAAGTGAATGTATTTATGTACTTTTCCTGCTACACCAGATGTTGTTTGTTTTTTGTTAGTCTGTGCAATTAGATACAAGCAGTCATAGGCCATTAGCCACCAGCAGAGCTCTCTGTTTGCCAAGTCCGTGTGAATTTTTACATCCTGATTTAGCACGCTCAACTTTTTTTTTAGCAGAAAAAGAGTTGATGAAATAGTGCTTGACAAAGGCCTGAGAACTCCGTGATATTGGTGCATGGTGGTAAGCTGGTGTGGGCTGGGTAGCTGACTCCTAAGCTTCACTACCAGAGAGATACCAAGCCGACCTGAGGCTGGCTTGTCCTTTGCCAGCCCTGTTTTTCGGCGTGAAGAAAGGAGTTCATTGTTTTAGCAGGAATTTCTTCTCAAACATTTCTGCCTCTTGGTGGATTTTGTTTGGGCAGAAAACAATGAACTCTCATTTTAAAATAGCAATCTTAACCTCTGGTTAGCTCAGTGAGCAAATCCAGATGAAACAGTGGTTTATGTGACCAAGAAGTAAGGAAGGGGTAAGGATGTCTGCTGAAATAATGCTGTTTGAGTAAGTGGTTTAATCTCTTGCCCTACCTGTGCATAGAGGTAAGATAAGGTCCTTTGAGATGTGAACTTGAACAATTTTAATTCCAGGTAAGAGTAGCTGGTACAGTGCAGCTTCTGTTATTTGCACTGAATTTTTCGTGTGGACGTTCTAATAAGGTGATGTCTTCTATTTGCAATCAAACTGTGGTACTTAAATGGTAGTAAATGTTTTTGGTTTTGATGGGTATTTAAAATTGTCAGTTTTCCTGACCTGATAAAAATGAGTATGTGGTTTTAGTTTACTAGAAAGAGTAAATGGTTTACATCAGCCCTAATAAAGGAGAGACTCATGCTAACACAGTAATATGGAACAATTAAAAATCTTGAGCAGTTGTGCAATCTGGTGCAGTTTTTGGAATTGTTGGTGTAGTTATACCAGAAAAATAGATGTGGGTTATTATGAGGATGAAGCTGTGTAGGATTTTTTCTGTTATTGCATTTCCCTTTTCCTGCTCCTTCTCCAATATCCAGCACAATAATTTCTCAGAGGAAGAGATAAGCTGTAAGAGTGACTTCCTCTGCCACTCCTTTTTCCACATCGGAAACCTGCAGGGTTACAAGGGAGGGACTTCGTCAAATCGGATTTACAGATATTTGCCTTTTAATCTATTTAGTCTAGTGAATGTGCCAGAGGGTGAGCGTTGGGAATGAAAGCTCCATAATCAGACCACCTTGTAGTCATTCACACTGGCATACTGCAGGCTATGTCTATTCTATATTGTGGAAAGTGAGGGACTGGAAGATTTTCAGGGCTGTGCTGGCAGGAAATTAGCTGTAGCTTAAGGTCTGGTGTACTGGGTTGTGGGGGAGAAGGAGGAGGAGGAAATTGAGATGCTTAAGTGGACTTTAAGATAGCAGCCTTGCTGAGTTCCTGAGCTTTTGGCAGAGATGTCCATGGTCCTTCTTAAGGATGAGCTCATTCCCTAGGCCTTGGGTATAACATCTCAGCTGAGTTATGCAGGTGCCTTGCTGTGAATGTATTGCTTTTGTTGGCAGTAGGCTTTAAGGGACTGGGGAAAGGCTGATTTACACTTCAGTGTTTTTGGAGGTAAACTACAGAGCCCCATAAAGTTCACTTTCCTATCCATGTGAGCGAGCCTATCAGTACTTTTCATAAATAAAGAATAAGAGAGGAGGGAAAAAAAATAACAGTCTTGCTTTAATCGGGAACAAGTGCACCGTCCTAAGATTCTGCAGGAAAAAAGTAAATGGACTTGGGATCGGAGCAGCCCATTTTTGGGTACAGGTGTGCTATTCCATGGGAAAGTTGCAACTCCAGGCACTGAAGCCATCAGCAGTCATTCACCAAATTTTGTGTGTGTTGGGAAAACTTAGCAAAAAATTTTTTTCTCTGAAGAGCACAGTGGAGTTTCATCTGTTTTCCATGGGTGGCTGTATGCTGCTGCAGTGCGAGCTCCTGAAGGGAAATGTCATGGACATGAGAGGGGACAGGAGCTGCCGGAGCTACTTGTAGTGTTGTTTGGGAAACCAGGAATGAAGAAACAATGAAGTGCAGAGAAGCCTGAGAGAGCAGATGGTCAATTTTAAGAACTTTGTTTAAAAATGGCTGTTTATTTTCAGTTGGAGGAACGCAGTAGCTATTCCTGAGGCACTGCAAGGGGCTTGTTGGTAACACAAGAGTGACCAGTGTGCTGCAACAGCTTGTCCTGAGGGGAGGAGGCTGTCAGCTCAGGCTGAACTGAAGGAAGGGGACAGAGCCCACGCAGTGAGGAAATAACACCCTAAATGTCTGAAATAAACACTGTGCAAAGCTGTACCTGTGTTATGTGGAGCTGTAGATCTCTTCTGCTCAGCTGAGTGGATGGATGTTTGGTATAAAGCAACCCTGTGTTATAATACCTTAGAAGTGGAATCCTTTGTTTGTCTCACCGCCTGTTTGAGCCATGAATCACTCTGTCTTCTGGTCGTTAGTAAAACAAAACTTAATTTGGCCTGGGCACTGCAGGGATGAAATGTGATTGGTAATGCTGTCTACATTCACTTCAGATGACCATAAATCCCAGATGAAGTTACTTTACTTCATTCCAGACAAGGCTGAGTGCAGTGTGTGCTCTGTTGTGAGGATCAGCCTTGCTGGTCGCTGAATGAGATCCTGCTTAATTCTGACCTGAAAGAGTATGATTTCGTGTGAGCAGAAGAACTATTGGGATTGAGCTGTTAGTTTAACTCCCAAGTTCATTTGAAGTTTGTTGCTTATGTTCACAGGTGAAAAATTCAGATAGTTTTTCTCTCCCCAGATCCAACTACTGTTAAGTGATGACCTCTCTGATCTCTCATTCTCTAAGGAGAGAGTTATGTATTGAATTCTCAAACTGGAACCGAAGCTGTATAAATATTTAACCTTAAGAAATATGTTCTTCCTTTTGACTATTGGGAAAATGAGTTCACCAAATGGAAGACTGAATTTTCAATTACATAGAAATCCTTTGCTCTCAGCTGTATGCTCTTTAATATTTGTTGTATTGATTAAGTAGTAGCCATCATCTTACAGGATAGAAGGGATGGGCTTTTAAATTATTTTTCAGTGATCTTACCAGTCATCTTAATCATAAAGCAGTAATGCTAGAGATACAGAAAGGTATTAGATGTATTCCTTATCCTTCCTTTCAAAGCAACCTTTTCCTCTGTCTTTTCATTCTAAGTTGTCCATAGTTTTGTTTTCTGATCAATGATACCCACCACCTTTTTGAGGAGCAATGTTCTGAAAATACCTTTTAACAGTGCCCTGTGTGCACACACTGTGTGAACATGGGAAGGTAGCAGCCACTTTAATGGCATTTCCATCCTGTTGATTAACGTTTTGCCAGCAGGCAAAAGACAGAGTACCAGCTGGTCCTTCCTGGTGGGGAAGCCTCTAAGGCTTCAGAGCTTTGGGCTGGGAGAGTTCATGATCACCAGCCACTCATAAGAGGAGGCAAGGCGAGCAGGAAGGGATCTCTCCATGGGATGGGAGACCCTACTGGGTGTTCAAGGTCTGGGTCTCGGGGATGGTAGACGTTCAAAGTCAACAAAATTACCTGCTGAACGTGACACTTATGGCCGAAAAACTGCCTACTTTCCAGGCCATTTCCCACCATCTGCCCTGGGGTACGCAAAGCCTGCGGTGCCGAAGCCCCAAGTGGAGGCCTCCTAAGAGCAGAACTGCATTCAGTGCCCATGTCTCCCGTTCCTGGAGAGGGCTGTCAGGGTGAAGGCAGCCTCTTGTTGTGAGGAGAAATGCCCAACAGAGTGGAAACTCTCTCCTTAGAAGGAGTGGGGAATGACCTCTGTAGAGAGAGAAAGTGCTGTGAAGTGAGATCAGCGCAGATGTGATTCATGAAGTAAGAGGGGAGGGACAGGGCCTGCCTGGCGCAGCAAGGGAGGGGACCAACAGGGTGGGAGAAAAGCCAGAGGTTACTGCAAGGAAGCTTCTTTCCAGAGGGGTTTAGCAGGCAGCTCCTGTTCTAAGGCTGTTCTCCAGTGAAAAAGCCATGGCAAGAAGGTTCCATGCAGCAGTGACCTGAAATGCTGAGGCTGTGACCACCGAGGTCAAATAGTGGCTCATCCGTAGGCAGCATCAGTCATCTGTCTCTGTTCCTCACTTGTTCTTCTGCCACGCTTCTGTTTGCTCACCCAGAATTAAAACACAGAGGACCTACAGACGGTCACCATTAATTCTGTCACTGGGTGCGATTCCTTTTAAAGCCTGTTTTTCAACCTTTCCTAAACAGAGTAACCCTCTAGAGACATTCTATTTGGATTTAAATTTAATTTTAGTCGTTAGTGGCCGGGATACAATTTTGGCATTTCTGCTAAGCCAAGTTTCCCTTGTAGCTGCATCAATTTATTTATTTCTAATAAACTTTAAAGAACCTCTTTGCGTTCCTCACCCAGCTCCTTTGGAGCCTCAGAAATCATGTTTTGCCAAAATATTTTCTGTGTTTTGCATACCTGTTTCAATGTAGGTTTCATAATGATTGCAGGATGCTGGCATTGTGTGGGCTGAATTCGGGCTTACGGCTCTCAAAAATAAAATCTGCAGAAGAGTCCAACCTTCCTAACAATTTCTTAAGGAAACCACAGGAATGCAAACAGAGCTCAGGAGCTGTGACTAGTAACTGCCTGCACGGAGTCAGGGATCATAGATAACGGCAGACTATCAAATGAAATTTTATGGACTTCTAAACTGATAAAACAACTCGAGTCGTTTTTTCCACAGCTTCCACATTAAACATGAAGTGCGCTTTCTAAACATCTTTTAACTTGTTTCTTTTTGAGTTGCATGTGGAAATTTTACATGAAGAAAAGTCAGTTTTGGTCTTTACTGTGCACTTGAAACATGGTCTCAGAATACCTTTCTTAAAGCAACGTTTTTTTTCTTCTTTATTTTATTTGCAGGTCGAAATTAAGTTTCTTTTAACTGTCACGTAGAAGATGAATATGATGCCAAACAGAAGTAACGCCTCGTCCTTTCAGAATGTTGGGTCAGGTAATCAATTAATAGAAATGAAGTTTTTGTAAATTTACTGAGGTGTTTCAGGGTTTATTATTGATTTTGGTCCTCTCTTTTCACTTACACATAGATAAGATCAGTGCTCTGTTCTTCTGTCTCTAACTCATTTCACCAGCGAAAACAGGGCCGCAGCTGGATACACTACAGCCAGCCAGCCCTCCCCCATCTGTTTAATGTCTGGCTGGAATATAAATCAGTGACCCCCAGCTAAAGAACTTGGAAATGAGAGAAAAGGAAAGGAATGGGGGGGAGAAAGAAAAGAGAGGGGGAAAAAAAAAAGAATTTTCTTCTGTGTAGCCCCTGGCAGCGAGTGCTTTGCTAAGCAGGGAAACTTTGAACTGTGCATTGAAGGTTACCAAGTGTGAGCTTGGGCTGACCTTGGGGCAGGACAGATCCTGTACAGTTCATGGGCTGGAGCTCCCTGCCCCGGTTGCTGTGAAGGCAGCATCAGACAGAACATGCTACAAATCATGGCTTATTCATAATGCCTAATTCCAGGCATTGCCTTATAAATTAACAAAACAAAACATGATATGACTTGTGGGAAGAAGTTAAGATTCAGTTAAACGTGTGCTGCAGTCCAGTTGGGATTTAACCTTAACATTGTGGGCACTCGTACTGGACCTAAAATGTGGCGGAATTTGCATTAGGTATTGTAGAGAAAAGTTGAATCCACATGACTACATGAAGGTATTGTGACCTCTTTTTATTATATATGTTTGGATTTAAAGTACAATGAACCCTTCATTGCTGTAGTGAATGAGCCTGAAAGTTTCCATGAGCTAACTTGTTTTTTGGCAAAAGCCGTTAGTCTTCACAGAATGAGATGTGCCCCACTGGTGTTGCAAGGGAGTAATAAACAATTATAATGTCCCATTAATGTGTCTGCTAAGCTATTTATATAGGAGTCAGTGGAATTTATGCAAAGCCAGTTGAACTTCAGTTGTGTTCAAGTTACGATTTGGACAGTATGTTCTTGATGTGAGATTAACTCTCAGTTAATTTTAAGAGAGATCTGGAAAAGGGAAGAGGAAAGAGGGAGGATGAAAGTTAGGTTATGTTGTACAATGGAAGGATAAGCATACAAGGCACATACATTGTGCTTTGTTCTCTCCAACAGCTCTTCTATTTCTTCCTCGTAACACCACTAATACGATGAGTGCTTGATCTTTTTCAGATGCTTTGTTTTGTCTTGAACACGATCACATTCATCCTTTTGTTCATGTGCACTTCATTGCTGCTGCTCATCAAAACTTAAGAAAGCAGTTAAAAATGCCAAGTAAAATGTCACATTATAAGAAGCTGACTCACAGCAGTGATGATCTGACAGAATTCTTGAACTTACTGGTTCAAAGGCAACTTAATTGTATCATCAAAACGAATGCGTTAAAATTACAGCAAATAACATCAGTCAGCTTAAGAAAAATATTAAATTCTGCGCAGTGATAAATCTGAGGTTTGGACCTGAAGCTGCAAGGTGATGTTTTCTGCCAGTAGTAGGACTTGTGGTTAACACATGGTTAGCCAGTTATGCCATGCACAAGGAGACTTTGTGTTCATAATGTTGACCATTTTTCTGCCTACTGAATTATGTTATTGCTGATGATTACCTTTGTTCTTAAATGTACAGATTTGTTCCTTAGGAATTGAGGAGAATGTTTTGTTATGCATTTAGACTCACCATAGGTGGTGCAGAGTGAGAATTCATTTCCAGAAGCCTGTTGAGCAGGTATATATTGAATGATGCCCAGGACAGTAATCCAGGAGATTGTCAGCCACAAAGGTTCCAGAAACAGGGACTCACTCGAAGAATGCATTGCCACCTTCCACCTAATGTTTGAACTGCAGTGAAACTGGATCATCACAGTTCTGCTTTGCTGTTCCAGTAGGGGGCAGAAATCCAAATTCTGTGTCTGGGTTTATATAATTTATTGAAGTGGTACTCAGAAGAGGATTAAAGGATCATCTCAGAGGCTTTGAAAAGCACTTTACAGGTTAGAATGTTAGGTTTTCTTGCAGAGTGACATTCTGAGATTAGGTTTCTCCTGAGATGGTTTGATGTCACAGGTGGAATGTGACCGAGCCAAGAGAAAATCCCAGAGCTGACCCACGTTTCCAGAAGCTATGCTCAGGGACACTGCAGGAACTGACACTGAAGAGCGGTTGCCTTATTAGCTCAAAGCACAGCGTGGCACATCCAAGGAGCTGTTGGAAATGTTTATGGTGCCATTTTTACATCAAGGGCCTGTTTATCTCCTGCAGTGACTGATGCTGTCAGGAGCTGAATTCTTTTATCTGCTGTGTGCAGAGTGGGGCTTGTAGCTGTAGGCTTGAGCTTGACGTGTCACTGAACAATAACATCCAGCACAACAAAATTCTTTTTCGTCTGTGTTCAGCCCCAGCATGTAAGTTACAATTCTGAGCTTAGGTAGTGGACTTGCATTTTGAAACCTCTGTCCAAGTTTTTTCTTTTTTTCTTTTTTTTTAATGCTCATATGATTGTTATTGTTCATGGATCCTAACGTTATACTTGCTTGGGACAGTCCTTTCCGTTGTTCTCTGCAGATGTACTTACATAGCTTTTTATTTTAAGAATATTAGAGTGCTAAGCTGAAACACCTTTAAAAGCAAGTGTTGATTTTCCATGAAGCTTTGCATGGCAGACCTTGGAGTAAGCAGAAAAGGTTTTTGCTTTGTGAGCTTTGAACTGAGCTTTATTGAGGGCTCAAATGCATTGGTTGCACAAGCTAAAAGAAAAAGTCACCCAGAACAGGACCTGTATCCTGAAAGAATTGCCTTCAGTTCTTTCCTTTGCTGCCAGCTTTGTATCTTCTCTGTGTATCTCAGTTCCTTAGCTGTAAAAATTCAGAAAAATAACATCTTATGAGACTCAGGCTTACAAAGACTGAAAGTCCTGCAATGGATAAGACACCAAAGAAAGAGTCTGATATCTTCCCAGCTCTACTGCTGGTCTGTGATGTGAATTTGGTAATGACTCTATTTCTTTTTTGTTATGCTACAATTTTTACTAAAATAGAGATTAGAAGATTGCTTATATCTTGTTTTCTCTAATGATCTGAGACATTTATTACAAGCAGGGTAATGTTTAGGAAAAGCATTCTTTTCAAGTTAATATGCAGACATACATATACAAGAGGTTACTTATTTGCTAAGTTTTTTTTCTTCCTGTTTTCTCTTCCTTACAGATTCCAGTAAGATTATGGCAGAGTATAGCCACACACAAAACCAGATGGAATTACAAAATGCTAGTTTGGGAAAGTGTTCTGTGGTGAATTCCCTTGAAAACGGTCTCCAGGATATTATGGAAAACCTCAACACAAAGAAATATTCATCAAGTCTCAAATTTAAAACAAACGGGGACTGCGCTGGTTCTTACTTAACCCTTTCACAACCTATGATGGCTAAACCCAGTCCTTCCACCAGTGTTAAAAATATACACTCTGTTACCAAAATTCAGGGAGGCAAGCTCTTCCCTTGTGAAAGTCCGTATCTTCCAGATAAAAGCTTCTCTGTAAAGCATTTGAGTTCCCTGTCAGGCACATCTCCATCCCTCAGTGGGTACAGTTTAGGAAGGACAGACTTTGATATTCATGCCAACAGAGAAAATGAAAAAGCTCTTGGACATGCAGATAAGTTTTACTACTCTAAGTATAGCCAGAAAAACAAGTCGTATGACAATGTCTACTTGCCAGGAATGCTGGACACAAAGAAGATCTCAGGCTCTCTTCTTACAATGTGGAACGGCAGCTCAGGGAGTGAGCTGATGCTTTCCCCTGTTAGCAATTCAGGGGCAGCCAGCATGCCTTCTAGTCCAAAGCAAGGTCGGAGAATGAATATTGAAGATGGTCTGGCCCTTCATGCAAAGCCAGTTAAACATAGGGATGTGATGATGGAAACTCTGGCCTCACGCCCTAGGAAATACTCTGGTGGATCTCTAAGTCACATGGGAATGTACAGCCGTTCCCTACCCAGGCTTCATAAATCAACCGAAAGCCAGTTGATGCCATTGAGTTTGCCCCCGAGAAACTCTTTGGGTAATACTAAAAGGAAAAAACTTGGAGAGAAGGATCTACCTCAGAATGCTTTAGATGCTGATAATTACCTGAATTTTTCTTCATGCAGCTCAGGGGTTTTACCACATGCAAATTCATTCTCTGGGAATAATCCCTATGTTAGTTCAACTCTTAGCGTTCCTGCAAGCCCTCGAATTGCTAAAAAAATGCTTTTAGCATCTTCTTCCTCGTATATTCCTGATGATTTTGATAGACTTGGACTCTCAGGCACGAGTCCCAGTAGTTCGTTCTCCCCTGTGGATTTTGACAGATCGTTCTCTATCAGAAGAAACCTCTCCACCAGTTCCATGGAATTTGATGATACAGATTTGGAAAGTTACAGACAGACACCAAACTCACTGCAGACTTCTGTGAGAGAGCGTAAGAACAGCATCAGCTCCATTTCGGGGAGAGAAGACCTCATGGACTATCACAGGAGGCAGCGGGAAGAGCGGCTTCGGGAGCAGGAGATGGAACGCTTGGTAATTTCTTCTTTTCTATTCAGTTTTTTATGGCAGTTGGTACTTCCAGTTCTATCCATTGTGAGAGTGTAGCAAAGCATATGCTGTTGTCTTTTGAAATGTAAATTTTGTCAACGTCAGATGCATTTTTTTTATTATTGTGGTTCATGAAGCAAATGATTAAATGGTGTACTACTCTGTTAGCTCAGATGGATAATACTGTTCAACCATCTTAAAGAAAAAAATAAGTTGGAGTGTACATAAATTGTGATCATTTATCCTGTGGGCTCTGTTAAAGCCCACAAGTTACACTGTAGGGATCCAGCACTTTGGTTTTAGTTGATGGCACAGCTTTGTGGTGAGTGGGTAGGATGAACCCATCTCCTATAAGCAGCTCAGAGTCCTGTGTGCTGTGCTATGAAGTCATGTATACGTTGGGGTTGGTTCAATGTCTGTCATCAGCTTGCCCTGCCTGTAGTTTTACTGTCTGAGTATTTTCATTAAAATGCAGCCATTCTTGCTTTACTTCTGCTCTGAATGGAGAGGAGCAAAATGGGACAGAGCTTCTTTCTCTGCAAAATCTGTGGTCAACTAAAACCGCGTTTGACCTCAGCCCTGAAGTACGCTGGTAGTGAGGTGTGACTTCTGTGTGTTATTGAAACAACTTTTAGGTTAAAAATAAATAACTGTTCTTCAGAATAGTCAAAGAAGATGTCATATTGAATCTCCTTAAGAGAATGCTTAGTAATTCTTGAAAGTTCTTGCAGTGACTACAGAGGCCATCTGGCCCTATTTGCATGCACTCCTACTGTGCTGATTTTACCATCTACAAGGAAACTGAGATCATTACGTGAGCCAATTTGTGTTATTGAGTCTTAAATTTGAGATGTTAACTTCATATTTGTGCTTTAATTCAAATGTTGGTAGGTTTGAGCAAAATGGCCATGGGATGTTGTTGCACCTGTCCTACAGAGCTGTTGTCTGTGTGCTCCTTTGTAAGGCACCGTGAAGATGCTCAGCTTCACATCCTCGGACACAGCCAAGAGGTCAGGGTGGTCCTCTCCTTCCTGGGACAATTGCTGCTTGCTGCTGGCTTCGTTCTGGTGTCTTGGGCCGTACTGTGAAGGGTGGGATGGCCCAGCTGCCAGATCATGCCCTGAGAGAAAGGAGGTTTCTGCAAGCAGAAGGAGAACTGCATGAGGGTTGTCTCCTTCTCTCTCCTTGCTATTGGTCCACTCGTTTTTGAAATCTTCCCTCTGTTCCCAGTCGTGGTGCTTGACGTGTGCAAAGTGGTGCTGACTTTTTTATCAGACAGTGTTCCAGACGGTGCTGATGTAAAACTCAAGCAGTAATCAGTCCTGAAAGACACTACAGTGGGGTGTATTTATATTTCAAGGAGAAGAGTTTTATTTTTTGTGGTAAGGAACTGATACAGGGTTGTTTTTGTAATCAGTAATGCTAAAAATTATTATGGTTTTATGTTTGGATGTGATGGCTGCTTAATTTTCCTTCCACTGTTTCTTTACTCACAGGAAGATAGTCCCTTCACGTTCTGACTCTTTCTAAAGAGAATTTGCCTCACATTTTTCCAAGCATGTCAAAGTTCATGAAAAAGTGGTAGTATTTTTTTGTGTACCATATAATCTGAACGTGAAAGAAATTCCCTCGGTTTGAGTTTATCTTCTGCTCAGGATTCTGCTCAATTCCCCCCCCCCCCCCCCCTCTTTTTTTTTTTTTTTTTTTTTTTTTTTTTTTTTAAGTTAGCTGGTTGAAGAACTGCATGTCAGGAGAGCACCTCCTTCCTGGCTTGAGTAGCCCCCAGATAAGTTTTCAGTGCTCTGAAAGGAAGGAATGTGTTTTACTTTATTTTTTATTTTCTTTAAATCCAGTCACGTAATGCTTATTCACAAACTCTGCTGTTTTATTTTTGTCCTTCTGGGAGGATGGAAACATGAGTCTGTCCAGAGTCCTCAAGTATCTAGTCTGAGCTTCCAAAGCACAGCTTGATCTAATTTTGTGGAAGGTGACATGGCTGAAGATTGGAAATCCAGGTCTGCTCAAGCCTATCTTGGGGAGAAGCAAAGGAATAATAAGGACACAACACAACCACTAGATAAGTGCCTTTGGGTAGCAAATCTGTATGCTTTGAATTCTCAGAGGTGGGTGAAAGTCCTGACTGAGTACCTGGTGGGAAAATGGCAAGGGGAACCCAGTTTTTTTAAGCATTACTATTCAACTGATACAATGTGCCTTCAAAGCAAAGCATGAAGGACTAGTTGGAGACTTCTTCAGAAACGTGAGCCTCCTTGCAGAGGATCAGACCATGCTGCAATGCAGATAGGAAGAGGAGAGCATCCTGGCTGGCACTCCATAGCTGTCCTGCTGGCATGGAGCTAATGTGTTGCTCTTGCCAGCTCATGTTCTTTGAGGTGCATTCAAAACAGCATGGCCAGCAGATCGAGGGAGGTGATCCTTCCCCTCTTCTCGGCCTTGGTGAGGCTACATCTGGAGTACTCTTTCCAATTCTTGGCTCCCAGTTCAAAAAGGACAGGGAACTGCTGGAAAGAGTCCCTTGAAGGGCCACAAAGAGGGCACTGGAGTATCTCCAGTACAAGGAAAAGCTGAGAGGCTTGGGACTGTTGAGCCTGGAGAAGACTGAGGGAGGATCTTATTGATGCTTATAGATATCTAATGGGAGGGAGTCAAGTGGATAGGGCTGGGCTCTTTTCAGTGGTGCCCAGTGACAGGACGAGAGGCAATAGGCACAAGCACAAACTGGAACGCAGGAAGTTCCATGTGAACATGAGGAAAAAGTTCTTTACTCTGAGGGTGACAAGTTGCCCAGAGAGGCTGTGGAGTCTCCTTCTCTGAAGATATTTAGAACCCGCCTAGACACTTTTCTGTGTAGCTTGCTGTTGAGAACTTGCTTTATCAGGTGGGTTGGACTAGATTTATCTCCAGAGGTCCCTTCCAACCCCTGTGATTCTGTGGTTCTCATCTGAAGTTTTCAGTAAAGCCTCTGCAGACATTGTCATTCGACCTGGTGTCTGCCCTTTGTCTCTTCCCTTTATTTTCACTCCTTTTGTTGTGCTGTTTTTTTGGGGATTTGTTTCCCCGTATAAATTATTCTGTGAATCTTACTTACATTTAGTTTGCTTTTTAAGTGACAGAAGCCACTTGGGACATTTGCATTTTGAGCTGCTGCTACTGTCTGCTTGTGAAACCAAATGATCTCCCCTCATCACCCAGAGAAATAAATATACATGGCATTTTAAAAACGCAATACAAATAGTGAAAATTCACAGGACAATTTTTTTTTTTTGAATGATGAAAACAGAAGATTTTAGTGTGTTCCCATACACCAAAGAGAGAAGACTTGTACGTACTTGTGTTGCATTTGGTGTTGTCCCCTCTCATAGTATCATTAAGGTTGGAAAAGACCTCTAAGATCATCTCGTCCAACCGTCAGCCCATCCCCACCATGCCCACTACATGTTCCTCAGAGCTACATCCACACAGTTCTTGAATGCCTCCAGGGATGGTGACTCCACCTCCCTGGGCAGCCTGTGCCAATGCTTCACTGCTCTTTCTAAGAAGAAATGTTTCCTAATATCCAACCTGAACTTCTCCTCGTGCGACTTGAGGGCATTCTCTCTCATCCTGTAGCTGTTATCCGGAAGAAAAGGCCAATAGCCATCTCATTGCAGGCAATTGTACAGAGCAGTAAGATCTCTTCGCTGAGCCTCCTCTTCTCCAGATGCAGCCAGACCCATCTTGTCACCTGGATGTGTATACAAGCTTTGCATGAGTACATGGCAGAGTGAGCTGTTGTGGAGATGGTTGATCTGCCTCATAAACAAGGGAAAAACTTAGCACTGGGATCTAAGAATAGCCAGTGAGATTCAGCTATTGAATTTTTTTTTTTTTTTTTTAAGAGGAAATCTTTTTTTTTTTCCTTTCTGAGATAAAAGGCAAATTGTAGTGACTGCTGGAACTGAAAGGCTGTCATTCTTCTCGGTCTGTGAGGAGCTGGCTGTGCACTGGCACGGACAACAGGGCTAGAGATAGTAAGGCCATCAGTTGTGTTTGACACTCTTTGTTTGAATAGCAGCAGCCTCGGTTTTGTGCTGCTGTTTTGGGGCAGTGCAGTGCTCTTCCTCTAGGTGGTGGTAGATACCCAAAAATGAGTGGTAAAGTGTCGGCCCGATCCGGCCATAAGCCAGCTGTCGGTCTGGAGCTAAAGCATATGGCTGTAAATTAAGTTTTACTGAAGGCGAGAGTCATGCTGGGAGGGATTTCAGCTTATATGGCCAGTGACCTAACAAGCAGCAATAGAATTAGGAGAGCTTATTCCACAGTCCATGCAGACGGAGGAGCACTGAATTTCATTACATTTATTCGGCAAGTAGGAAATAATGTGGAATTACTCTGAGTCTCTCAAGCACTTTGCATTGATTCATTACAACTTAGCAAGATGAGCTAATTTGAGGGGATATTAAATGGAAATATTTTGGAACCGTCAAGGTGGTACCATTTTAAAATTGCAGTTATAGAGCTTATATAAATATCCATATAGATTGGAAAAATCTCCTGTATGTGTTTTATAAATTTATTTTGGCACTGTGTATTTTTATAGATCCTTTAAACATGATGTGCCCTGTATTTAAAGCTGTATTTAAAATATTAGTGACTTGCCTCTTACAGGATCCCCAGGCAAGCATATAAAGGCTGGATGAGGATGATTTTTCCCACCACTAGCATTGGACACTCTTGGTGGTGTTACAGTGTAGCTGCTTAACAACAGTTTGGTTTAGGAAATTAGAAAGTACCATATAATAAAAACAAACAAAAAATCTGCAGAGTACTTCCGAGCCTTTTGCCCATTGCTTTCTTGCTTTGCTTTCTTGCTGCCTTCCTGCAGCTCTCCTGCTTACGGTGCCCTGCTGTGCAAGGCTCCTTGGGTATCTGCCAGGAGAAGCCAATGTGAAACACGAGCGCTTTCTGTGAATCTGGTGCTGGTACTGATAGCCTCGTGACTGCGAGACTGAACATAGCAAAACAAGGACTGAAAAGGGTAGAATAAATGAGGCTGAAGTGAGAAAGTTCTGCAAGTTAGAGAGAAGAGGAACAACAGCAAGTGAGTTGTTCTCAGCCTCAGTTGGCAGTCTGGCTTGGAACCTTACTTCAAGCAGGAAGGCCTGGAGACTTGACTACTCTCCTCCATGTTCCCTCTGCCTCTTTTTCCTCTTTCTTTTTGACTTTTTGCTGTTCAGCCCTTTAGCTGCAGAGCTGTGGTTTTGCCTGCTCATGGGGGTTTAAAAGAGCAATGGAAGCAGGGAAAGAGCAGCATCTTCTTCTGCAGACAAAGGGAGCTGAAGCTGCACTGATTAGCTCCAAATCTTGTTAGCTTCAGCCGCAGAGGAAAGACTGCACATGTATTTTAAATGAAATCTTGGGTTGTACTGATGCTAATGGCACTTATCTAAAAAGCTTCCTGCTTGCCACAGCTGATTAACGAAGTCTTGCCATGATACCTAGATACCACCTCGCCTCTACGCATTTGTAAAATCCATGTAGGTGTTGTGCAGCAGATGAACAAATCCAGGGATTGCTGACATGGTTGCCTTTGAAAGATGGGGAGTTATTTGTCTCCGTTGTTTCACACTATTTTTCTTAACGAGATGCTAGAGATGTCTCTTAATCTCATTGTTTTGATGTAATAGAACAGGGTTGTTGTCCCCTTGTCACATCTTCCTTTAGCACCTAAATTTCCAGCCACTCAGATGTGCATGTGGATTTATCAAAGCTGGTACGGGTGAAACTGCTACAGGAGCAAAAGCACGAGGCCTGCATACCCCTTCTCACAGCAGGGAAAGTGATAGAATCATAGAATCATTAAGGTTGGAAAAGACCTCTAAGACCATCTAGTTCAACCACCAGGCCATCCCCACTATGCCCACTAAAATATCTTCAGTGCCACATCTATATGTCTCTCGAACACCTCCAGGGACGGTGACTCCACCACCTCCCTGGGCAGCCTGTGCCACTGCCTCACCACTTCTGAGAAAAAATTTTTCCTAATGTTCAAGTTGAACCGTGAAAGGTTCAGGATAAGGCCCTTCTCTCTCATGCTATTGCTGTTACCTGGGAGAAGAGGCCAACCCTCACTTACCACCTCTTTTCAGGCAGTTGTAGAGAGTGATAAGGGCTCCCCTGTCCCTCCTCTTCTCCAGTCTGAACAATCCCAGTTCCTTCAGCTGCTCCCCTTAAGACTTGTGTTCCAGACCATTCACAGCTTTGTTGCCCTTCTCTGGACATGCTCCAGGGCATTGATGTCTTGTAGTGACAGACCCAAAACTGAACGCAGTACTTGAGATGCAGCCCCAACAGAGTACAGGGGAACTATCAACTCTGCTCCTGCTGGCTGCACTATTTCTGATACAAGCCAGCATGCCGCTGGCCTTCTTGGCCACCTGGGCACACTGCTGGCTCATGTTCAGCTGGCTGTCAACTAACGCCCCCAGATCCTTTTCTTCCATGCAGTTTTCCAGCTACTCTGCCCCAAGTCTGAAAAGATCCACTGAAAATATACAAGAATGTTTTTAGTCTGTTAGAAAGGACATTTTTACAGGAAACATCAGGCTCGATTCAACATCTTCCCTCCCTCGCAGTTTTAAGCCAGATTAACACTGTTTGACATACCTTTTTTTATCTGCTGTGTTCAGTGGCACAATTAAGTTGTCGAGTATTTCTTGCAAAATCATTGCTTGGATTTTTATGGGTTCCTGTTCCTCTGTTTTTCATTGCAGGGGTGCTTTGCTAGCTAGCTGCTTGACTTGGAAACATGTTCTAGAACAGCTGAGTGCAGGTGTGCTGGAGCTGGAGCAAGCTGGCCGAAATGAAGTGATGAGAATAGAGTGTATAAAATAACCGCTCGGCTTCCTGTCTGTAAGCCTGTCGGTACATGTCAAAATAGAAGTGAGAGATAGCGGCATTTCTGTAATGTGTCCAACAGTTTTTGAAGCCTGAACCTGAAGAGGTTTTCCTGTGATTTTTGAGCTTTCCTGACCACGTGAGACTTGGGGAAGGAAGAATCCCTCCATTGGGCTGCTGACAAAAGGACAGGTTTGCATTAGGAACTCCTTACCTTTGTGCCTGGGTTGGGATGAGCAGCAGCTGTACTTGGAAGCGTGCTGTTTGCTGTGATTGCTGAGAGACTGGCCTGGGGTAACATGATATATATATATCCTTTCGTAGCAGGGAAGGATGGGACTTTGTGTCCCAGTGCTGCATTTCCCGTCTATAACCATCGGGGTGATTGTATTGAGGGGCCGGGCCCTGTGCTGTCGCAGCAGCGAGAACAGCATCATAGGATCATAGAATATCCCACGTCGGAAGGGACCCATAAGGATCATCGAGACCAGCGATCCCAGCCAGCACTTGCACAGTGCTTTAGGAATTGGGTTGCGTGGCCAAAAGACTTGCTGAGAAGGAGGGTAATGGCTTTGGCGGGGTGAGGGAGCGGACGGAGCGGCTGGCAGTAGTCATGTGGAGGGAGCGGGGCTTAGTAGAGTCATAATTACGTTGGATGTTTGGGTTTGAAGGACAACTGCAGAAGCTGCTGAACCCATTTGGTGGAAAATCCAAGCCAGTGGTCACTGCCCAGAGCTCGGCGTGTTGGATAGCTCAGCCCTGCTGCCACATTGGAAGGGGCAAGAAAGCTGCTGAGGAGGCGTGGGAGCAGGCTGCCCAGAGGTTCTGGGTTGGGTAGGGCTTTGAATGGGCTTTGACTCTTTACGAAGGGTGGAAACGCAGCTCTGCAGTTAACGTGAGCAGTGTGGGGGGATATGAGCGCGTAGTGCCTGTAACTGCACAGCATGGTGACTATATGAAAAACAGGCTGCTTGTAAACCAGACTTTAATTGTCATAAAATGCCAGTGGCTTGCTTCAGGGAGAGTGGAAGCAATGCAGTGCCCTTACAGCTCTGCTTAGCTGACATTCTCTCACTTGCTACTGCATGTAGGATGTTACAACCACAAGGAATAGCTGCTTTGCAAATGTAATGTCGGGTGGAGTTTGGAAAATGAATGTATCTGCTGTACTTTTTGGGGACGTAGCTGAGGGGTTCAGTGTTTTGGCTTTCTTTCTAAATAAGATTAAAAAAGGAAAAACAATTTCTTATAAGAAAGAAATGGGATCATTAGTGCAGGTATTAATGCCAAACGTGAAGCTTTCACAGTGGTGTTTTTTATTTGTGTGTTCACTTCTTTTTTTTTTCCCAGCAGAATTTTCAGTAGATCTATGGTAAGCAATTTTTTTGTTTATGTTATTTTCTTCTAGCAGTGGGAATGTGAAACACTATAAAAGCATCACCTCTTAAAAATGAGAAGGTCAAACGCTTTCATCTGAAATAAAAGTTATGGGAGGCTATGCATATAGTAAAATAAAGCCACTTTCTGATGTTTTTATAAAGTGTTATAGATATCTAGAAGTCTTCCAGGAACTAAACATCTAAAGCATCTTGAAGCGTGTCAGGTCAAACTAGTTAATATGAAACCATATAGAGTTTGAGTTAACTGTTAAATAAAAATCCATCCCATTTCTGTATGTCTGAAGTATGTTCTATTTTAGATGTGATGCTCCCTGAACTGTGTGCTTCGAAATGTGGACTAATTCTCCCTCAAAAAAGAGAATCAAAGTTCACAGAAAATCCAAAAAAGTCAGGAATTAATGAGTTCATGGAAAATCTGTGCATATTTTGCAGCTTTGTAGGCGTGTAGTGTAAGTGAAAAACAGAATAATTAGTGCTTTATACAGTGAGCTTGCTGGGCACATATACGTACAAATCGGGTGTGGTTACAGCAATCAGAATAAACAATATTAATTTTCTTCACTGGAAAGAGAAGTAGGTGTAAGGATGCCCTAACTCAAGTAAGTATTAATTTCTGTGAAATGTTCTTTATTTTAGAGTTTTATTCCATGTTGTTTTTGATTTGGTTTTCCCCTCTATTAACTTTGATTCTGTGTCCTACACAGCAATTTATTTATGTAGATCTGTTCACTGTCTCTGAGAGCTATAGGTATACTGGAAATTGGATGACTTGAAATCAGTCACTGTAAAAACAAGCAATGTGCTTTTCTGACTTCATCTTTACTTTGGCTCACATGTGAAGCTTAGTGCTTTTATCTTTTCCTAAACTAGGAACGACAGCGGCTGGAGACGATCCTCAATCTGTGTGCAGAGTACTCCAAGTCTGACAGTGACCCTGCTGCAACTACAACAGTTGCTGACGTTCAAAAAATTAACAAAGAACTTGAAAAGCTTCAGCTATCAGATGAGGACTCGGTATTTGAAGACTCGCAGACAAATCTAGAAACGAGGTTTAGAAACCACTTGAAATCGTCAGCAAGTGATTCGGATTTCTCAGAGCCAAGTAACCACAGTCGCAGCACTGCTTCTTTCCTTTCTTCCCGGGGGCTGAGAGCCGATGAGCACTTCAACGAAAACATGAAGCCTTCACCATTAACTACCCCTGGCTTCCTGAAGGACTCCACTGAGTCTTCGTATCTAAGTATCACGCCAAAGGTAATGCTGGGTAGGAAGGCATAGAACAGTCTGCTCGATGGCATGAAGTCCTCCTCTGGAAGTCAGATTTCACAGCACAGGTCCTGACTGGGATGGTTTAGATACAAGAATTTATTTCAGAGCTTGTATAACTTAGAACCCAGCAGCAGATAATTTCATTTTCTATGGAAGCTGTTGGTGCTGGAAGTTTTTTTTCTGGAGGATGTAGGGCTTGGGAAGACTGCAAGGAATTTCTAGGGGAGAATGATTTGTCTGAACAAGTTAAATCTACTTAAATAAGCAAGGTTTCAGGAATCCTACTTAGAGCTGTGCTGAGATGGAGGAAAGAGAAGGGAAGTGCTACCAAGCTCTCCTAGACTGAGGTTCCCATTTCCTGAAAGAGGAGGCTATTTTCTCATTGGTAAACCAGTTGCAGAGGAGGTGAAGAGGAATTGCGTGGGCTGTGTTTGCTGGCCTGTCGGCTGTCCCTGGGCTGGACCTGAGCCACTTGTCACATCAGCTGCTGCCTCTCATGAGGCGTATGGTGGCAGCCTGCCTCCTGGCACTCAAACGCATCTCCTACGCTTGCTGAGATGGAGCTTCTTTCTCTCTGCTTCATCTTGCTGTTCTGTTATTGAAGGGGAGTTGTCCTTTAAAAAATGAGCTAACAGTGTTTCTAATAATTTCCTACAGCTAGAAGAGCAGGAGCTTAGTTCGGGGTGGGGAATGGCCTCTCCTCCCTTTTGGATCAGTGCCTGGGCTCTGCTGTGCCAGATGAGCAGTGCAACTGGTTCTGGGGAGAGATGGTGTGTTAACATCCTAAATAGGTATATCCAGTAGTTAGAGTGAAGAGTTTATTATTAAATGTTAAACAAACATGACATTAAGGTTTTACTTAGTCTTACTAGGTCTTTCTATGTATAAAAGGTAGTGAGACATTTAATTTACAAGTTACTGTGGTCTTGCCTTTCTTCCCCATTTGTTTCTTCCTGCAGGTCAGAAATCCTATTTTAAATCCTTTTTAGGAAGTTGAAATTGAAGACATTATGTCAGCATTACCCAAGCAGGATGCTGGACAAAAAGTGGCTTTCCTGCTAGGATTACTAATGCTAATCAAGGAATACTTTTCATTCATTGTAAAGGGTGCTCTGCTAAGCCTGAGAAAAGCAATAAACGAGCAACTGCATTAATGAAACACAGCTCATTGTTCCAAAATATCGAGATCAGATCTGTCCATGATGTTTTGTCCATGCCTGCTCTCAGAACAGCCATTCAGGAGCTGACTTGAGCCTCTTTAGAGCATGGTGTGTAGTCGAGTGGTTAATGCAAAGCTCTGTGTACAGCCCACTTCTCATTTGGGTTGGCGACAATAAGTGAGCAGCCTTACAAAAGTAATTTGATCATGAGCCCCTGGGATCAGGTGAACATGAAAAATATGTTTGAAACTAAATACTCTTTGATCTAACCTTTGCTGCTCTAATGAGATCACAAGTATTTTTTTAATAATGCTTTTTAATTCTTGGCATAGTCGTCTGGTAATTAAATGACAACGAAAAAAGCCATGTTAAAGGTATTGCCTCCTGATGGCCAACTGGGGAGGCAGGGCTGAGCTTTGTCCCATTTTACAGAAGCTACCCATCTTACTGGCTGCTTGTAGAAATGTGCAATTCTACATCCTGGATTTTATTACATGAACAGTTGATCTCTGCATAAAAACCGTCATCATCTATTTGTTTTATTATTTTGAAAAGAAAAATTGGATTTTTACAGGCTAGATAGCACAGCAGGTAAAGTATTCTCAAGGGTCAGATTTTAATAATTGTATTGTATGAATAGTATTTACTGTTCAGTATAGTATTTAATTCTAGTGCTCGGAAGCAAAGTATCATGTTTGTTTCTCTTGTATACTTTCTAAATATAGAACTAGTAATATAGTAGGGATGAAATATGTACCAACTTCAAAACCAGCATGTAGTACTTATTTAAAATGGTCACAATATTAGAGAGGAAAGGGAACACAATATTTAACCTCTTTCTGATAAACCTCTTGTAATGTACAACTGCAGATACCAGAATGCACAAGTGATGATCAAAGAGAACAGGAGCTCACTCGACTGGAAGAGGAGCGCATCGTAATATTAAATAACTTGGAAGAACTTGAACAGAAGATCAAAGATTTAAATGACCAGATGGATGAATCCTCAAGAGAGGTATGACGTACGTTTCGGTTTTAAATGTCTTGCTTGTTTCATATATCTACATAGCATAGATAGGTTCAGCAAATACATAGGGAGTTCATGCATGTATTGTGTGCTTTTTCACTAGAATTAGGCACAGAATCATGAACCTGGTAGTCTCCTACTGCGAAGGTTATTTATTTCCAAGCAGAGGGATGGTTGTGATGCTCAGATTAGCCTGTTCCAACTGTAACCATTATACTCATAAGCGGAATTAGAACAATCTTCTTGCTGAATGGTTGCTCAGATTGATCTAAATAGCTTGTGTCACTTGAGTGTTTTATAGTGTATCTCATGTGACCCTTGAAAGAGAAAGGAAATTAGGTAACTTCCTATTAAACATCCTTGTCTTTATGGTGGCAAAGTTATATGGCCATCTCTCGGCTTCTGGAATCTCACAGTTGCAGACTTAACTGATCAGGTATTTGGGCTGTGCTCACTCCAGTTATCAGCCACAGGAAAGGAACAGCTGTTCCGAATGGGTTTCCTACAGAGCCTGGGCACAGATACTTGGTATAGTGTCACAACAGGAGGAAGCACGGAGAAGAGTTAGAAAAGAAAAAAAAAATCTTCAGAGTAAAGTTGGTTTGGACTTTATTTTGCAGTATTTTATGTTTCAGTTTTACTTTTTCTCAATTTTATGATCTCTTTTTAACTTTGTGGATGTAACATTGACTTTTTTTTTTCCTTTCAAAAACATTCCTCTGTTGAGAATTATGAACAACTCACTACCCTTCCCCCAGAAAATAATGTGTATCAAGATTTCTTCTTAATTTGGACTGCTTCTGAAAAATGTTTTGTGTTCCTAGCTGGATATGGAATGTGCCCTTTTGGATGGGGAACAGAAATCTGAAACAACAGAGCTGCTGAAAGAGAAGGAAATACTGGATCATCTAAACAGAAAAATAGCTGAGCTGGAGAGGAATGTTATTGGTGAAAAGGCAAAGGTAATCAAGTTATCTTAGCTAGCTGTGTGCTCTGTTCCTATTAATCTTCAAAATGCATTTACACAATTAACATATTGGTGGAAGCTATTTTATGAAGTAGTTGCACTAAGTAAAATTATTTGATAAATGTGGAAGAAAAAGTAATTGTGACCAATATATCCTTCTAACAGTCTTGTTTCCCAAAATATACTTGACTGGCAGAACAAAGTATGCCTAAGTAAGGAGACCTGACCTACTCTGAAGGTATTTTTGATTAATAAAGAATCCATCGAGGGCTTGGGCTTGAGTTACCTGGTGTTTAAAAGAACAGCATTAATTGAACTGTTCTTCAGCCTACAGTTATATGTTATAAATTTTGAGGGTTTTTTTTTAATTAATCCTTTCTCAGCAAAGGAGTGGTATGAAAAGAGGTTGCAGTTTCAGACAATGGTTATATCTAGAGTAGTATATAGTTTGATTCATGAAAGCATCTGTAAAATGCATAGTTCTAGAGTAATTATATTGGTTCATTTTGTTTGTTGACTAACAGTTTTAGTACTGTGGAATAATTCTGCTAAGATTAAGTCAAAGGAATTACTTGGTTCTCTTCTAGAGTCAGATATTGCTCTCAAATACATAACTGTTAGCAAAAAAAGGATAGCACTATGATTTAAGTACAGAAAAGGAAAAAGCTTGTGAGATGAACCCGTCCCTCCCAACCAGAGGGAACTCATCTTCTCCAGCACGCTCTCTGCTGGCAATCCAGGCCTGCAGTTCCTTTCTCCGCAGGGGATGTGCCACAGCCAATAATATCTCAAGGTCAGGAAGTTTTTCCAGGGCTTTCAGCCAGTAATGGTTCCTTTTTAAATTTCATCCTCTGCCTCATAATTTAAGCCTGTCACTGTGAAAGTACTCCGGCTGGTCTCTTCCCTCCTTTCACTTTCTAGAAATATCTGAAAGTCTTCTGTGTTATTTGCTCTTGTTTAGACAAGCCATGCATTTTTAGCTTTCTTGCACTTCCCATTTAATTCAAGCCTTACAGCATGCATTGTTTTATTTTGAGTTTGTTGTCTTCAGTGTCTGTCGACGCTGTCATGAGCCTGAGCCTTGTTTTGCATCTGCACTCAGTAAACCTATGTTTGAGAATGGTGCTCCCACCTCTTCACTCTGCAAAGTGACAGCAAACATCCAGTTCAAGCTTAAGTTTTAATGAGCTTTCCTGCCTTGTTCTCAAATAGTCTTCAGTGATTCTTCAGCTTTCAGCAGTGCCTCTGGTCACATTTTAAGCTGTCTGTGGAACATGTTTCATGGTTGTTGGGTTTTTTTTTTTACTATGAAGAGGAATTTAAAATTGGAGTGATGCAAGCAGGTATAGCAATATCCTTTTGCAAACCAAGCTTGGTTTCACTGGTAACAAATAACAGAAGTTCAGAAGATCTTTTGCCTTTTGTATTTGTTCTCTGGTAGACTCAAAGTTCAACAGCACTCATGGAAATTATTTTAAATCCTGTATGTTGTTTACATTTCCATGCAGTCACGTATGTAGCAGATAACATCCTTGCATTAGTGTATTAGAAAAAAAAATTACAGTACTAAGTCTAACTTCAAATTTCACTCAAACTGAAACATGGAAAGCAGCCTAGAGAAGGCAAATTCATTCAAAATATTTTTTTTTTCCTAAGTACAAAGCATACTGGTGAAGTTAGTTACTTTATTTTAGTAATCTTTTCTCACATGCTGTTTAAAAAACAAACAAAACAAAACAGATCTGAGTGATTGTAGTAGATTTAGAGCCATGGCTCAATTAATACTGAAAGTAAGAAATAGAAGTGAAAAAAAAAAAAGAAATCTTAAGCAAAGTACCTGAAATTGTTCTGGAAAAATTAGCGTCAATTAGTGCAACAGCCAGCACTCAGCATGTCAATTAAAAGAAGTTCTGGCTGGCTTTAGAGAACAGTATTTTTTAAAGCTTGATTTATATGTCAGTATGTTTAAGGTTTCAGCCCCTTCAGTAGGAAAAATCTTGGCTTTTTAGTGGTATAGGACCAGACTCCACCAGGAAAGTGGTGCTCAGGTGGAAGCACTAGGAGGTATGTTTTATTTAAATTGGAAAACAGATGACCTCCTTAACAGCTCAGCTTCTGGCTGGTAATTGCCACTCTTCTGATGTTACTTCTCCACTGTTTGTCGGAAGAGCAAGTGCTCTAGTATCTGTACAGTGGTAATAGTTTTCTGCAGTTGCCTTTATGTTTTACTTGTAATAATACAGGTAGTTTGGTGTTGGTGGTGTATTGTAGCAAGAAGTTGTTGGATCCATTTGTTCAGACAGTGGTTACATTTTTGTTAGGGCAGGGGACTGACACCTGAATTTGCTGTGGGGTGCCTTCTTGAGGTGAAATAGATAGTTGATTTCATTCTTGAAACGATGCTAGGGCATTAGTGCTGGGCATGATGGCACTTGTTTCTGGAATGCCTTGAGTATCTCTTGGAATTTGTCACTGATCTCAGCACCTGTTTGACAGGAAACCCCTGCCTGATTGTGTTTCATCCTTACTGATGCACCTGTTTGAAAATCTTGTGAAATTCTTAAAAAGAGAGATCATGATATACAACCTAATTATTGGGCTGCGTTATGTTCTTGAAATAGAGTATAGGTGGAAGTTTTTCTATTACTTTCTACCTGAGACTGTGACTGTTTTCATGGTTTTTGCATGAGATGAGATGAGAGCACAGAGTTTTACCAACCTTTACACAGTCTTAAAGCCTCAGTTTAAAAGGAAATTTCTAGCCTCTGTGAAAACAGGGAAGTGCTTACTACGCAAGTGCATCAGATGGAAAACATACTTAAAGACAGAAGGCAAAAAGACTTGTGAGTTCAGTTCCTGGCTGTGGTGGTGAGCTCTTTGCTGTGGTACAATGTCTTTGTGTCCCTGTATCTTTGCAATTGTGTTTATGTTAGCATGGTATGTTGCATTTTCATCTTATTGAAGGCCAAGTGTTCAGCCCTACATGAACACATGGCAGGACTAACAGTGAGAAAGAATGAATGAGTTAGTGAGGAAGATGATGTAATGAATGTCCTGTGGTGAGTTCAAAGCATTGCTCTTGTTCTTGTGAGTATGCTATTACAGATGTTGCAAGGAGCAAAGCAATTTGTGTCAATTTAGTTAGGTTTTAGAAAGAAGAGCTATGAGCAGTTCCATTTTGCAAAGAAAAAGACAGATCCTTTCAACGCCACTGCAGGAATTAGCATTGCTCTGGTAGTGGTGTGACTGCACGATGCAAGTGCTGAGAGTACTCACTTCTCCTGGCAGGGATAGCTGCTTTCTGTGCTGGAGATTGGGCATGGCCTATGCCTGCTTCTGTCTGTGCTCTCAGCTGTGCTAGAAATTTTGGTAGAGTATGGATGGAGATTCAGCTTTGCCTCTATCATACTTCCTGAGCATACCTTTCTTCTTGCTTCCACAGATGATGATGACTAACTATGTATTTGAATATTAGCATCTAGGCTATTAGTTACAGGCTCCAGTTACACAGGAACAATCCTGATAAGTTACTACTAACACAATTTGACATGCACAGCTTGAAACTCTCTGGAAAAGAACTTTGCTACAGATATTGACAGTGTTTTTGAGCCCTGCCTGCTTTGGAGAGAACGGAAATGGACAGTCCTCAGAAACAGATTAGACCTGTCAGCCAGTCTCCTTTAGTGTTTTCCATCAAACCCTGGCCCTTTGTAATGTCGTATTGCTGTACTGAAGGTGTAAAATAATGATGCTCCCAGTTCAATAACAGGGTGAAAGTGTGGTGCTATTCCCAGTCACAACTTTCTTGTGCTGTCTCTTTGGCTCATGGGACTTCTTTGTTTACAGGGAAGTTGGAGAAAATTTTATTTGCTCGATACGATGTTATCCAGATTGCAAAGTACTTTTTTTTTTTTTCTCATACTGTGCTCCTTTAATCCAAATTACATTTTGAATGTGCAGTCTAGCATATGTGGAGAAGATTACTTAATGATTTGCCATGCCTTTTATCTCAAAGTGAGAGCATGAAAATAACAACGTTGCTGTCGGAAGAAGGAATGGATTAATGAATAAACAGGGATAAGTGAAAATGATTAATGAATTCAGCAGAAGTGCTGTGGGAGGTAATCATAGTTAAATGGGACTTTTGGCAGCGAGTTTCAAAACAATTATCTAGGTTTAGACTGCATTTTACAAGAGGGAGGTTATTCCAGAGGACCTTTGCCTTATGTCATGGTGGAAGTACATACTCTGAAATTCCTTTATTACGCAGGGTTTCCTTTTCCTTTTCAAGAGCAGAAATCAGGAGCAGCTGGCAATGAGTAACTCATCTTCTTTTGGAATACATGAGATTTTGTCTACGTGCTTTTGTGAAAATGTTCTTTAGTGATCAGTGGAGTATCCCAGATGTGCCAAAGCTTTTGAAGCTCAGCCTCTTTGCTGAACTAGTTCTGTAAAGATAAATGGAGCCAAGGAAAGAACATCTCTCTAATAATTCATGTGAAAGGAGACTACAGCAATCAAAGATACAAGTCATCTCTTAGGATTTCTTTTTCTTTTGGATTCATAATTCTCCCTATTGTTTTTTAGCATTATGACTCTGACAAATGTGGATGCCATAGCATAGCGTTTTAGACCATTCCTGGTCAGATTCTAGTTCAACTAGATGTAAGCAATGTTTTTAAACAGTTGAGTTATCTTCTCTACAACATTGGTTGAAACTAGATGATGATTATGATCCTTTTCAACCCAGGCCATTCTATGATTCTATGTGATTCTATGATTATTAACCTCCTTAAGTCAAAATATACAATTAAGTATTCTGAGGAATGCTTGTATCTTCTGGATATCAACTTAAAGATACCCTGTAGAGAAGACACAAATAAGGAAAAAGATGATTACAAGAATCAAGGAGAAAAATCTGAACTCCCATGTTCTCTTTAAAAACAGTCATGAGAGAGTCATAAAATCATAGAATCATAGAATGGCCTGGCTTGAAAAGGATCACAATGATCATCTAGTTTCAACCCCCCTGCTGTGTGCAGGATCACCAACCAGCAGACCAGGCTGCCCAGAGCCACATCCAGCCTGGCCTTGAATGCCTCCAGGGATGGGGCATCCACAGCCTCCTTGGGCAACCTGTTCCAGTGTGTCACCACCCTTTGTGTGAAAAACTTCCTCCTAATATATCTAAACTAAATCTCCCCTGTTCCAGTTTAAGACCATTCCCCCTTGTCCTATTACTCCCCTCCTTGTTAACAGCCGTTCCCCCTCCTGTTGATATGCTACCTTCAAGTATTGGAAGGCCATAATGAGGTCTCCCCAGAGCCTTCTCTTTTCCAAGCTAAACAAGCCCAGTTCCCTCAACCTTTCTTCATATGAGAGGTGCTCCAGCTCTCTGATCATGAGTGGCCCTCCTCTGGACCAGTTCCAAGAGCTCCACATCCTTCTTGTACTAGTTACTTCTTGTACAGTAAAAATAACTGTTGTGAAATACCGTCTTCTATCACATTCTGCTCCTTTTCATAGGCCTGGCATACATTTTTTTTGGTCCTTTAATGGTTTCTTTCATGAAACCTATAGAGATTTAGAAACCAAATCATGACAAGCTTTTTCTTCCTCTCCTGAAAGAGGCCGAAGAGTGCAGTAAAGAGTTGTCTGAAAATAAAGAGGAGCATGTGTATGTTTATGGGAGAATCTGCTCAATTTCAGCAGTATTTTTTTTAATGAGAGATATGTGTAGTCTGATTTTTATCTATTTTTTTTTTTTTTAATCCGACCATTTTGCTGGAAATGCTTTCAGTTCTGCAGAAGTTAAGATTTAACTCCTCCTCCAACATTTGCTCCTTTCAGCACATATAAAATGTTTCTTAGCTTGCTTCTTGTTAGTAAGTAGACTATTTTCTTAATTCACAGCAGGGCTCAGACCAGTTCTATCAATGAGTTGATAATGTTAAATTTTCTTTCTTCTTCCTGAAAATGTTTTACTGAATTGAAAACTATGTAATTTGACACTACATCCAATCGTAAAGAAATTATTTCTGTAGTCTGTTTTCCACCTACACTACTAGCATATGCAGTCCTTCTGTTTTCTGTAGTCTTGGGGAAGTAGGGTGGAATGTTCTTTTGGAGTGTAAAAGAAGGAAATTTGACTAGAGGTGAGAACATGAAGATGAAATGGAGATGCTGTTCAGAACAAACAGCTGCATATGTTTCTCCTTACTCTGAGAAACCTGTGAGAGCTGTGAGACTAGCCTGCTCCATACTGACAGACAGAACGTGCATGTGAAGCTTAGTGTGGGTAATAAGACCTTGCTACCTTACAACATGATGAGTTGCAGGTGAGTTGGAATGAGGATCGTCCTGGAGTGCTTTAGAGGGAGAATTTTGACTAGGAGAGCCTGCCGAATGGGAGGGAATTTCTTTGCATTTTCTCCTTCTTTCAGGTTGTAGAATGACCCCTATTCACCCAGCCATATTGTCCATTTCATGGTGAGCTAGTAGCAGTGTTGATCAGACATAGGGCATCTTTAACTGCAGGAGATAACACATAAGCAATTAATCTCTCTTTTCCTTATTTGGTTCCCATTCTTATGGAGGCTATGATTGTCTTTAATCTAATCACCTCTTATCCCAGGTAACTAAAGGTAGTGGCCTTAAGTTGCACCAAGGGAGGTTCAGGTTGGATATAAAAAAAAAGATTTATTCTCTGAAGAAGTGATGAGGCATTGGCATAGGCTGCCCAGGGAGGTGGTGGAGTCACCATTAATGGTTCTGTGATTCTGTGGTTATCAGTGAAATATTTTATGTGTGCTGAATATATGTCCTTTGTTCTCTCCATTTTGCCCATAAAATCAGTTCTGCCAGATATGAATTCCTTTTTTGACCTGTGTAACCTCTGTGTTCGTAGCATGGGTGCTTTGCTACCATCCTGTCTGCTTTTAGGGGATGACAACATTACAGCTCACTTCTTTCTGCTGCTGTCCTTCATGATATTCAGATACTCTTCAAAACTGATTCAAGCTGTGCCCCAGCATCATCAAAACACCAGTCATTCCTGTTGTCTGTCTTGGCTGATCTCAAGTTCACATAACCTGTAACGGGAGGCAGCAGGCTGGGTAGCCAGCTAAGACCAAGTGTTGTGTTTTACTGAGCTCTATTTCTCTTCTGTAGAAAGAGAGTGGCAACAATTCAGACTATGGCTCTGAGATGGGCACTGGGGATGAGAGGCAGTTGTCTGCAGAAAAATGTTTAACGAGCACAAGTCTGTGTGGCTGAGGTGAGGATGTGCAGCTTAAGCATGTGGGCTCTATTCACAGCTGTGTCCTGGCTGGTATTGAGCACAGGGTACCCAGTGGTCTGCCTCAGCTGTGTCCTGCACTTAGCTTACAGTCCTTGATCATTTTCCTTCTAAAGGAGCTCACCTGGATCCATTTATGAAAGAGTCTGGATGGAAAAAAAAAAAAAAACAGTCTGATTGTTCATTTATTTATTACACTACTTTTGTGAATTAAATTATCTTTACCAGTGCAAAATTAGAGATGTTGATGAACTGAACTCCGCAGCTGCAAAACGTGTAGTGCCTCTCACTGCTGAAAGTGATATTTCCTGTAAGACTGCACAATTTGGAGGGAGACAGTTTGGTGGGATGTGAGCACTTCCTATGCTATATATAGGACAAATGAGGATCACTTTCAATCTCAAAGGAATACATTCCTAATTTCTTGAGGAAGTAATAGTATCTCTGGCATGATTCTCAGTGAGTTTTATTCTTGCTGATGATGTCTTTTCACACACAAAGTTTGATTTGGTTGTTAACAAGTGAATGTGCTTGTTGCAGCAGAGACATGTAGGCAGCTATTAATAGCTTCAGAGGAACGGTACTGTATGTAAGGTCACAGAAGTCCTCGCAGCTTTAGATTTGTTTCCATCTTCCCCTTTATATTTGCCTAGCAATGTGGCAGACTGTAGGTTGAACAGCAAGGTTCGTGAGGAGGGGAACTACTGATTTATTCAAGATTCCTTATGCACTGAAGTAAGGATGATTCAGCAAATGTGGTTCTATGGGGACAGAGGTCTGGAGGTGACATCTCAAGTGTTGCATGCTTTTCCCTCATTTTACCCCTTGCACATTTCATCCTCTGTGTTTCTGAGCCTTGCTTATGCTGCTGCAAGACAGAAACTAGTAAAGGAAGTGCAGGTAATTGAATATGCTGGCCCAGTTGCTCACTTTTACAAGCTTAAGAACAAATACCAACCAGCTGTTGTGTTCACCACTTTGTTCATCTAATTATGTGTGCTGAGAAACTGCACGTGTAAATGGAAACAACAGAGCTGGCAATTTGATTCACATTGAGATCAAATGAGGATGTTTCCTCCTGTTATTTTTAAATACTAGGGAAAAGAAATCCCAGCCAATGATCCCACCCAGATTTAGAGATATGACTGTAAAGAAAGCAGAGAGCTATTGTGAATTTGTTGTGTGTCCACTGTGTGGAGAGTTTGACAACTTTGTCAACAAAGAGAAGATTTTGGAGAAGGCCCATTTCACAGTTTGAAATGGCAAGTTCTACATACAAAAGTAATTTTCTATGGCATGTGTCGTAGGGTGCTGCAAAGGTGAGCATGTTGCACCTGCTGAGCCACGTTTGACTTTAATAATGGTTGGGACTGAAAGAGGGAAGTGAGTGGATGCTGTGGCGGACTTGCAGTGTTCTTGCAGCATCTTGAAGAAGCAGCTGGAATGTTTGGGCTGACACTGAGCTGTAGATTATTGGAGAGAATTACAAAATGCATCTGAGAAGAGATGCATTGCTACAGAACAAAAAATAGATAAAGGGAGCTGTTCCAGTGTGACTCTAGGAGGAAGTAGAGAGTGGTCTCCAGAGACTTATTGATACCTTCAGTTTTTCTGGCATATCGGGCAGTTTGTTTTTTCTAGTTAATAATTACTCTCTTGAAGAAAAAGTATCTGCTGTGCTGGCCAAGGTACATGCAAGTAAAAGACACTGAAAGAATTCTCTAAACTCCAATTTATGTGTTCCTGAATCTGAGTCCATAGACAAATAATCTACAAGGTGATTTCAGGTGATTTGCAGTCAGTCTTGAAAGTAGTGCTGCACACAAAGCAAGTAGCCTTTGATTGAAGGTTGAAAGGGTAGAGGCTTTTGACAGTGATAAGCAGTATGTTGAGTGCTGCTGCTCTAGTGGAACAAGAATAAAGCTGAGCTAGTTACAAGAGACCAGGAAGACAGAGCGTCGCCTTTGATTCCAAGAAATGGTTACAGTTCCTGTATCCTGAAGCAAATGAATTTATTTGTTAAATCATTGGGTGTTTCTGTTGCGACAGGATTTCCTGTCCCAGAGTTATTTCTTTATAAAGCTCTGTCTCATTCTATGTTTTCACTGCTTGCTAAAGGTACTTATCTGTCCAGAAGCACGTAAACATGTGATTCATTTTCTTGGGAAAATCCATTTGCTGCTCAGTGCTAGAGTACAATCATTTTCCATCCATTTTGCTTTCTAAAAGCTGCTGCTTTCTCTCTCCTTCATATGTTACCTGACTAACATGGATATCATTTCCATTTTTTTTTTCATTAGGTGAGACAAGCATTTGAACAGCGGGCATTACAGGCATCATCCAGATGTGGGGACAAAGTGCAGTGATGAGGGAGAGAATTAATCACCTTACTAAAATTATTAATGTTTTGTTTGTATCATTTTGCATTCCATGATTGTATTTCAACTAACAAGCAACTTCTGTCATTGACCTACATGCTTCAACTGTTCGTTAAGTTTTTGCCACACGCTGTCATAATCACTAACAACTGCTTCAGTTTGAAGGTAATTCTGTTTATTTTCTGGTTCATGCTTCAGGAAAAATTAAAACTTGATGCTGAGAGGGAAAAACTAGAGAGGCTTCAGGAGCTTTACTCCGAGCAGAAGACGCAGCTTGATAATTGCCCTGAGTCCATGAGGGAACAATTACAGCAGCAGCTGAAGAGGGTCAGTAGCGAGTTTCAAGATTAACTTTGTTGTTGTTGATTTTAGAGTTAAATCTAACATATTCTGCTTCAGGTATCCTATGAGGTGTCTGAAGATATTTGCACGAGAGTTTCCTTTTTGTAGAATGCTTGCAATAAATATTTTGAATAGTGGCAATCAAGTAGAGTGCAAATGGGTGGATTAACATTCTGTGTTGAATGTTTCCAAAGCTTTGGGCTACTTACCTGTAATTAGCACCTTAGGCCTGCTGGATTGCATGGAGAGTCTTGGAATGGTGATGTTTAGATGGGCAGTAGAGCATTGCTCTTTTATTCTGCTCACACAAATAATATTGAACATTGGCTAGCGAGGTGAACCATTTTAACACTTTACTAGCAATATTGTTTAATTTTGTTTTATGTACTCTTCCTTTGCGTTGCTCTAAATTGCTGCCTCACACCATGGATAACATCCTTTCTTCAGTACATAACTTAGCTGTTGGGCCGAACTGTGCTTTGAATTTTTCATTGTGAAGATTATATCACTTATTTTAATGGTTTTATTTTTCATACGTTTTCATCAGTTTCACATTAGTTGTTGGTTTGTTTTTTTTTTTTTTAAATCTTTGCGCGAAGTTTACTTGCAACTTGGTTTTATTATGTATAATTTGCAACAGGAAAAGCTACGGTATTGTCAGTTACATTTATTTTCTGTTGAAGATTTTAGCATCAATTAATATTAAATAGGTTATGCAGCATACATAGTTGGCTATAATAGGGGGGAGATCACTTCCAAAGCTTCAATATTGTGAGTTCAAGATAACATCTGAAAGTGAAACTTGAGTTTTTTATTTTTCTTTTCTGAGCTGAGTATTTTTATATCAGTAATAAGATTTTTAATATCAGTGACCATAAAAAGTCTTTTGTTTTATAGAAAATATTCTCAACACCTTTTAAAAAATGTATAATAATTAGATTGCTTTATTTGTAGAATTCTGTTTTGTTTTTCAAGGAGCCTGAAGTTAAGAAGCCCAACTTCAGAAAACACAAGTTTAAGTTCTTCTGTAGTAACTAAGATGTTTGTTTTTTGTACATTTTAAAAACAAACAAACAAACAAACAAAAAACCCAAGCAAATGAAAAAGAAGCCTTAGAGAGTAATTCATAAGTTTTAAAAGATATCCTTTCCTTTGCAGTCATTTATGAGGGCTGCTCAGAAAGTAGTGCTTCCTCTTTTATTATGTTGGCCCATGATGTCAGAGATGGATGTTGGTGTTATAGCAGAGGTTGAACCTTCCCATAAAGACTCCCTCACGTGTTGTTGCTGTGCAACAGATGGCAGCAGAGGGACAGTCTGACAAAACAGCACCTGACAGGGAAATGTGGGTGGAGAAAGGTGTGTCATCAATTCCTCAGTGTGGAAAAAATTGCACCCATTGATGTTCATCAGTACTTGCTGAATATTTCTGGAGAACAAACAGGGGGTGTAGCACAGTGAAGCAGTGCGTGGTGTGTTTGAGCAGTGGCAACAGTAGTGTGAAAGGCAAGCCATGTTCCAGATGTCCATGCGCAGCTGTCACATACAAAATAAACAGCATCTTTATCAGTTCATCTGCTTGAATTGGCAGATTGCAACCAGGGAACTATGTATGGAACTGAATATAGGCTTCAAAATGTTGGAAATGGTAGCAACGTTGGAATATTGGAAATAACTTTGAATGCTCACACAGGAAAGAACTATATATGAGCTTGTCAGGACCTATTGAACGAATACAAGGCTGAATGTGACAGTTTCCTGGATTACATCATTACTGGTGATGAGATGATGAGATCTGGTGTTATCGCTGTGATTTGGAGTCAAGTTGGCAGCTGGTGGAGCACTTCAAGATGCAGCCCTCAGTGGGTAAAATGATGTGCGCTGTCTTTTTGTGATTGGAATCATGGAATCATTAAGGTTAGAAAAGACTACTAGATCATCTAGTCCAACATCTAGTCACCACCATGCCCACTAAACCATATCCTTAACTGCCACATCTGCTCTTTTCTTGAAAACCTTGAGGGACAGTGACTCCCTGGAAAGCCTGTTCCAATGCCTCACCATTCTCTCTGAGAAGAGTTTTTTTCCTGATATCCAACCTAACCCTCCACTGACACAACTCAAAGCCATTCTGTCTTGTCCTATTGCTGTTGCCTGGGAGAAGAGATCAACCACCACTTCACCACAACCTCCTTTCGGGGAGTTTTAGAGAGCAATAAAGTCTCTTCCCCTGAGTCTCCTCCAGACCAAACAATCCCAGTTCCCTCAGCCACTTCTTATAAGACTTGTGCTCTCGACCCTTCACCAGCTTTGCTGCCTTTCTCTGGATATACTCTAGGGCCTCAGTGTCTTGTAGTGAGGGGCCCAAAACTGAACATAGTACTCAAGGTGGCCTCATCAGTACCAAGTACAGAGAGATGATCACCTCCCTGCTCCTGTTTGTATTTCTGATACGAGCCAAGATGCCATTGGCCTTCATGGCCATCTTGACACACTACTGACTAATGTTCTGCCATCTGTTGACTAATACCCCCAGATACTTTTACTCCGCACAGCTTTTCAGTCTTCTGGATGCTTCTGGATTTCCTGGAACTTGGGCAAACCATCAACTTTGGCGGCTACACTGCAATGCTGACTAAGCTGAAGGCTTGAACTTGCAGACTCAGACCTGAGAAGACAGCCTTTCTCTTGCAACATGATAACATCACTCCCCAACTGGAAGACTGTGGAGCATGTTGCCAGTCTTGGCTGGACTGTCCTACCACACGCACCATGTAGTCTGAATTTGGTGCCTTCTGACTTCCATCTGTTTGGGCCAATCAAATATGTAACACGGGTATAATTTTCCTGGCAATGTCACTGTCACAGCAGCTATGGAACAATGACTCACCTCTGCTGGTGCAGACTTTTTCTAGCAGTCTATTACTGATCGCTAGCAAAAATGCATAATGATGGAGATTGTGTTGAAAAACAGTGTTTTGTAGCCAAGAATTTGCTCTATCAAATAGTGTTCTTGTACTCTTTGTATCAATTGTAATTTCTATGGAAAGACATTACTTTCAGAGTGACAGTATTAATTCATGAGAAATTGCAATCTTATAGGTATGGGATGGTAGTAAATTCTTTTCCACTATTGACTACCAAGAGGCTTCTAGATATCTGTTTCATTATATATCAGGAGTTGGACTTGATCCTTATGAGTACCTTCCAACTCAGGATATTCCATTATTCTTTATTTATTTATTTATTTATTATTTTTTCACTCAGGTTGGCTTAATATCAATTTTGGATTTGAAAGTAGGACTAAACTTGAAAGGTGGGGTGCAGTTTGATGTAAAATTGCTTCTGTTGCTGATTATTCTATGCCAGTTGTAGTGGGAGTTAGCTGAGGCTGCTGTGCTTGGAGTAGTAGAAGTTTTCGCTGAAGTTGTGCACAGTATTGTGATATCAAGGCTGAGAAAAGTTATGACTTTTTCGTAAGCATTCTATCCAAAATAGAAAAAAAAAAATCTCCCCCAAGAATAGAGAGTGTAGAATTAAATACTTAAACTTGAGAGACTGTATGTTGTGGTATTTTATTGCCAGAGTAGATGTGTAGGTGGTGAATTTTTGTTTTAATTCTTGGACTTGGGTAACTTTGTGATTTGTGCCCAGGGTGAGAGCAGCGTATTTCCTTGTAGCATCTGACTGTGGTGTGGGTCTGGAGTTTGGGCTGAGATGGGAAGCAGGCAGTTAACAACATCTGTGTAGACTATTGACTGGTGGGTTGCTTCTCAGTGTCTGTCACAGATATGCACCTTTTGTGCCAGACAGGGGGAACACTTCATTAAAGCCTGATGAAACCTGAGGGCTTCTAGAAGGCATTCAGGGAGAGCAGTAATCTTTCTGATGCCTTACGTACAACTTATTTCCATAATGCATTTATGCATTTATATGTATTTATTATGCATAAATGGAGGATGAGACTAGATGCCTAGATTCCTGCAAAGATCTAAAAAGACAGTGTCAGTTGCTAAGAAATACTTAACTATTCAGAGAAAAATCTGATTTTTACGGATTTTGTGGGACTCTGGATGGAAGGACTTGGTACTCTGCCACTGAATTTTGTCCAGTGCCGTGACAAGTAGTAGTAATGCTGGAGAAGTCTGTGATTTCAAAGTCCAAAATAGAAACATCATGTTTGTGGTTTCTTAAGAGCTTTTTAAGTTATTGTCTTTTAATGTAAATTTGTTTTAGTAAAAGGGGCAGGAGTGGAGGTACTCTCCTCTTTGTTCAGGAAGTCATTACGTACAATGAGTACAATCGTTCTACAAATCCTATGCAGCCTTCCGGCTGTCAGTTGCCTTCTCTGGAATGTGTCTCATCTTCTGCCCAAGTAACAATTTATTTGATACCAAGTAGCCTGAACTTCCTGATTTTCATACCTCATCAAGGCCCTTCCATTTATTTTAAAGACTGAAGGTGGGTGGCAGGTGTGAATCAGGTGATTCTGTACTGGAGGTAACTTGTCATTCGTAGCCCATATCTTTACTTTGGACCTCTTTGCTATCTACTTGAAGTGAAAAGCACATCTTTGGAAAATAATGAGAGTATGTTGATATTTTATATAGTTTTTTGAATTCATGAGCTTTTGCATCTTGCCTGATAAATTGAAAGGTGGTTTTTAAAAGCCTTTGTGAAGACCTTTGTGCACATCATCAGTCATTCTCTATTTGTTGCCTTAGATTGAAATGAGAAAAAGACTAAGCTTGCAATTTTCCACAGTAAAAAATTGTTACAGGTTATGTATGAAAACCTGTATCAAATTATGTACAATGTCTCTATTTTAGAGAGCTTTAATATTTAATAATACTGTGATTATTAAAAATTCTTTTTTCTTCAGAAATCTGGAAGTAGGGTATGTTATGAATACACATATATTTTGCAAGAAAGATTGTTACTCAGTTCTTGTGCTGAAAAGCACTGAAAGATTTGTCTCATCCTCCGTAAGTGAAAGGCAGATTCGTTCTTATTTCTTGGGTTTCTTTTGCAGCATTCAGCCTCTTGAAGAAATTTGGCATTCATCCATTGGAATGCATGAAATTGGTTTGATGTCATTTGTGAAGCAATACACCTACTGCATAGTGTCTGTGTGTGTGAGGACAGCTCTTATTGAGTCTGTATAGGGAGAGATTGTCTGCTCCAATTCAGTGGTCCTCATGCAGCCACTGGCTGCACAACCAGCATGGCTGGATTGCAGTACTGCTTGTCGGATGGCAGTGTACATAGGATACAGCTACACTTTGTGTTTTCTCTTATTTGTATGTCTGTTACTAAAAAACAATAGGACGGCTTGGGCTAAATTTGAGAAAATTCTAAGAGCTGTCCAGGCTCCTTCATTTGAATGTGTATTGCCATGATTAGTTAGTTCAGTATGCAGTTCTCAGGTTCATCAACTGGGATGATACTTCCTGCGGTTTTTTTTTGGTTGATGAGCAGATGCTGGGATCAGTTTGGCATGTGGCAACCTCAATGAGTTAGTTGATTTGCACTTCTGTTGCATAGCAGCTAGGCTACAGTGCTACAGAGGCTCCATCCTGCTGTAAACATTGAAGGACAACTTATTTACAATACAGCTGTCATTTTCTTTGGGGGATGCTAGGAGTAGTGGAGAAAGCTTTGTTAAAATAGCAATTAGCCCTATTTGTTCTCTTATGACAGTAGGTAATAAAAAGCATTGAGCTGCTGAACCTGTTGCGTGAGATACAATTTAAAACAGTATTTCTGAGATATTTTTCCTGTTTGTAAGTCTGTTTACTTCGTTGTCAATGAATGAAATGTCACTTTTTTCCTTTTTTTTCCTTTCTTTTCTTAAGGACGCTGATCTATTGGACATAGAAAGCAAACACTTCGAAGATTTGGAATTTCAGCAGCTTGAACATGAGAGCAGGTTAGATGAGGAGAAAGAAAATCTGACACAACAGCTCCTGCGTGAAGTAGCTGAATATCAGCGTAGCATTGTCAGTAGAAAGGTAAGAGCACTAATACTCAATCCATTTGTTCTTTGTTGCTGCATATCAAGGAGATGAAATACAGATGGTCAAGTTGTAGTCGCAAGAAATAATACAAATTTTTTCTCTTTGAGAAAGGTTTTGCAGCAGAGCAAAACTGATGTCCCACTGATGTTGTAACACATACTGAATCAGGCACTTCTTGAAAAGGAAATAATTGATAACACTCAATGCCTTCTTTGCATATTTGCATGAAAATATGAAAACAAAACCCTTAAATTTTTAACAAAAGGTACTAAAGTATCATTCTCTCGTTATTAAGCAAGGTGATTCATTTTCTATGGACAAAACTGAAGTTATTTTTTTGTTGATGATTGATATTAAGTGATATAGTAGGATTTAAAATTATTTAATAATGATAGGACACTGAATGAAGAAAAATTGTAATTCTTAAAATCAATTGTAAAGATCCTATTTGAACTAGTTAAATATGAATTTTTCGTAGATCCGAAGTTCCGTTTCCATTTACTTTCAGTACAGAGTCATTAGTCATCATGTTATCTAAGAATATATGCTATTGTTCTTTTGTTTTGTCTCTTGAAGAAATTCTCTTTGCTGTCTAAATTCTTTTCCTTCAGAGAAGGAATGAGCTGTGTTGTAACCTCCTTTCCTAATACCTCATTCATTCATAAGAGTTAAGTATTATGAATATTATCCTTGCAGTTGGCTGTCTTGTGCTTTGAAAATGAAATATATAAAAGGTGATAAATATATATATATTTTTCCTATTAGGAAAAGATTTCTGCTCTCAAAAAACAAGCTAATCATATTGTCCAACAAGCACAAAGAGAACAAGATCATTTTGTAAAAGAGAAAAATAACCTAATAATGATGCTGCAGAGGGTAAGTATTGTCTTTCAGATATTTTCAAAGCATAGTGAAAGAGCATTTCATATAATAACAGAACACAGAATATGAGAAAACCCTCCCTGCCCATCCCCTGGCACAGCTCCATGCCGTTCCCTCGGGCCCTGTTGCTGTCACACAGAGCAGAGCTCAGCTCTGCCCCTCCGCTCCCTATGAGGAGCTGCAGCCGCCTTCAGGCCTCCCCTCAGCTCCTCTGCTCTGCTCTGAACCAACCAGGGTACTCCAGCTGCTCCTGATGTGCTTTGCCCTCTCTGGAGAGCAAAGAATCTGCCCTTTGCCATCTTTGTAGGCATCCTTTGGAAATTAACGTGAAGCTAATGTCAACCCTTCATGTCTCGTTTGGTTTGGTTTTGACCACAAGGGAAATCATATTTAGCTCTTTAAGAAGAACCAGCACTTTCCGAATGCTGAAGGAAGACCTTTTTTTTTAATTGTGATTTTTCAATAATTTTTTTCACTAATTTTTTTTGCTGCATACATCCATGTTTTTATTTGGTTCTGCTGTAAATGAATGAAGGTGGAACTCTGCTTTGAAGTTTTTAGTATGTTTCTTTATACTTTTAAGAAAATGACTAGCATTTATTTTCATTACATTGCTGCTGGTATTTAATACAAACTTTATTTCTATTATTAACAGGAAAAAGAGAATCTCTGTAATCTGGAAAAGAAGTATTCCACACTTTCTGGAGGAAAGGGATTTCCTGTCAGTCCCAATAGTCTAAAAGAGGTAAACATTTTAACTGCCTATTACTTTACCACAAGTAACTTTTAGAAACTCTTCATGCAAAAGTATTTAATGAAGTCCTATTTATACAGTTTTGCTGGAGATGATGAAATTAATTTGTAAAGCTATTCGTGGAAGTCCAAATGTGTAGCAGAACAAAAATAACTGCTGACATTTTCCCAGATTCGTTTGGTCTCAATTTAAACTCTTGTCCTGGAAAAATGAACATTTTTGTGTGTATGTGAAGCATCTAATTTTCTCAGAATGGACAATTAAACTTCATTCAAATGAAGAAAAATGAGGTCCAGGGATAACTGTTCAAGTACCAATACATTATAGTCTTTATTTTTGCACTGTCAGTTTTATCACAGGTTTTCCCACTACACTCACTTCTATTTTAAGGCTCTTCAAAAATGCATGATAAGTACATGTTTTGATCTTTAAAAAAAAAAAACAACAGTGAATTAAAGACTTCATGCTATTGTGGTCTTAGTGTCTTTATTAAGCTATTTATTTAAAGGTGGTGAGTAGTTAGAGTAAATTTTTGCTAAATCTTTGAGTTAGTTTGGGTGAGTCTCAGAGCTTACCTGCACCTGTCAAGGCTTCATAGCTTTGAGGATACCACATTAAGCTTCTCAAGAACTGTGAATAAGATCAATGTAAGGTAAGACAAAAAAGGTTACAAAAATTTGGTCAGGATGTACAGTATTATCTTTAAGCACCCATGTTTATCCTCTTGGCTTGACTTAATGGATCTGAAAATTGCAGATTAATATGAAGTTATAAATGGGAAAGCAGAAGAAATAGCATTCAAAATATGCTGTTAGGTATCTGTGGCTGCTTCATTAACTTCTGATTAAGAGGTCTAACTGGACTTGCTGGATGACTCCGGAGCACAGTCTGCTCATCTAATGATGTAGGTGTCACTGTGGGATGTTGGGCTCTTGAAGTTTGGGAAATGTGATCTTGCTTAATTGGCCTCAAAGCTCCTGATGAACCAGGATGGGCTGCAGAACATGCCAATGGGATTAAGCATTCTTCCTTGCTGCAAGCCGTGTTGCTGATGCTTAATGTCCAAGGTTGTGTTCTAATCTGGACATCTCACCTCTCACCAGGACATTTGGCAACTCCAGGCTTCCTTTTTGTTCATTTGTGATGGTTTCTTTCATTTGTCATTAGAAAGTGGGTGCTGTCTCTGATTTTATCTTCATACCCATGTAATGATTTGTTTGATCACAGATGTTTCAAAATGCAACTACATTAAGTGAACTTGATGCACCTTTTGTTGAAATGGATAATTAAGCAGTGTGATTCTGTTCACCACAGTGAAATCAATTAGGACTTACTGTAAGATAAATGAGAAAAGGAACAGTGCAAATGACCTGTCTTATGCTCATTGTCCCCACAGGCTTTCTCTTCTTTAAGAAATGTCTTTCCTTTCCAGACATGATAATTTGTCTCACTTCAACTCAACATTTTTCCGACTGTTCCGACACCTTTAAAAATAAAGCACCACAAGGGACACAGGCTTAAACAGGTTCTCTGCACCCAGGAGTTAGTCTCACTCATACATCAGTTGAGAACTTAGTCTGTGATCAGTCTGTGATCTCGTATTTTCCATGCCCTCCTCAACAAAGCATGCATTTGTAACTCTCTCCCAAAGATAAGGCTTACCCCAGTACTTAAGTGAGGAAAAAAATCAGTGCTGTTTGAAAGTTCAGTACTGGCAAAATGAGTTGGATCTTTAGCCTGGCTTGAAGCCATTTCTTTAACCTAACATAACAAGGCCTGAGCTAACACATCATGAAGTCATTTGTTTGCTTCTTTTTTTATTCACTTAGCCTCATGGATAGTCTCCACTGGTGTTGTGTGAAATGAATATATTTTTGTCATATAACAATGAAAGTGCTTTTATTGTCTATAAAAATGAACATGATATTACATTCATAGACTTGCCAAGTTTTGGTGATTAATATACTGCTGCTACAATATGGTTAAGCAGGATTTATAATTATTCATACTAGATTCTCTGTTACTGTAATAAGGCCACATACTCAGAGAGGAAAACTTCAGTAGTACCTGGTCTCCTCGTTTAATATTTGATCAACTGGTATGTGAATTGATATTTAACTCCTATTTCTTGAGTGTTGTGTTCACAGTATGTTAATTGTCCAGAATTGTATATCTGCTTGAAAATAACTGATACAGTACATTTAAAATTATGCTGATAGGTAAGAGAGCTCTTATCTTTTTCAGTCTGCCTTCTGTGATCATTGCTAAATTTATGCATTTTTAAGAAGAAGAAATACTAGAGTAATCTGTGGCTTACCTTATTCAGTTGCCAAAGTATACAAACATACTGACATGTCAACATGGTGGTGCAATCCAAGGAACAAAGAGCCTTGGATACTTTCTCAGTTAAAAGCGGCTTACCATCCTGGTTTAAACATAAGCATACTTCCATCATATTTTTGTGATATTGGTTCAACAGTGACTCTTCTTCCACTTGACCATTCTTATTATTAAAAGTTAGGACAATTCATTGTTTTGCAAGCTGGTACCCTATATGCCATGGATTAGAAGCCATACTGTATTTGTTAGATAAGATTTATTCAGTTAACACCAGAACACCTGCAGTAATTGTGTTCTGCCACTGTGTCTAAAATCTGCCTGCATGAATGTTCTCTTCAGGCAGAAGCATGCTCCAATGTCTGAGTCTTATCTCAGTCTGTCACCTCCTGTGTGATTGCTATTTGAGAGGCAATTTGAAAAGACTGAGGTGAACAGTGGCAGCACCTACTGTATCAGTTTCCTGGTAACATCAAAAAGTTAGAAGTGACTTCCAGACAGTGCAAAGGAAAGGTGTTTTGTCAGAGTAATGTATGGAGCAACAATGGCATACCTTTATGTAAGTTCTTCCCAGTTCTGTTAGTCATTTGATTCACTTAAACTGGCCAAGTAGTTAAGAAATAAATCAAACTCTGCATTTGTTATCCCAAGAGAGAGCTACGTGAAGGGTGTTTACATTTTACTGAAGGCTTCCGTTCACTTAATGTATATTTGCCTTTTGATCATATAAATGTATTTGGAATTAAATGGAGAACAATTTTCAGAATCCAAGTATTCAACATTTGAGAAACCAGATGATGTTTTTGTTTTATTTATGATTAAGTATTTCAATGGTAACAAATATTTGGCTGTATCACTCTGAACTAACTTTCATCGTACTGGATACATTAATACTCTTGCACGTCTTTTTGCTTTTGCTCCTTTTAACTTCTGAATTCCTCCTTTTAGGGCTATATCAGTGTAAGTGAAATTAGTGAGCTGTATGGCAATTCCACGAATATATCCCCTTCCACTCAGCCCCCCACAGATGCTGACGCAGGTGCCACTGAGCCTTCCACGGCTGTGCTGACGTGCCAGCCACAAAATAAAGAGGTTTGTTTGAGAGACATTTCCCTTTGTTTGCATTGTTCTTTCATTGCTACCTTTTTTTTTTCTTCTTTTTTTTTTTTTTTTTTTTTTTTTTTGTAATTCAACATGTAACAAACTGACCCTAAGGCGAGCTCTCATCTGCCAGTTACCAAATCAGATAATGGCTTAATAGTAAAGCTGGAGGAATGGTCCAGTTGATGTTGTAGGTGAGACTTCAAAGGCCAAAAAACGTAAACGATTATGACCCAAGCAGCAATAAGTGACAATCTGTGCCTGTCAAACACTATAATGCACCTGTGGAGATATGATCTGTAAACACATTCAATTATTACTCATTCAGTGGTGCTTAGGTGTTCCTTTCGTATGTTTTTCCTCCTGTAACAGAAGAAAGTATATCTTGGATACTTGGGAGAGATGGGTAACTTCTACTTATGTTAGCTATTCCAGAGTCTGTCCAGTCTGTGTCTGTAGTTTACTTTTCCTTTTTCTCTTTCTTTGTGCCCTGTTTGCCTTTGTAATGATTACAGCATTTTTAATAAATCCACTTTTTATAGAATGAATTCATCTTATGACTGTAAACACACCTACCTTTGTGAGGTGAGGAGGCAGCAGCTGGTTTAAAAATTTGGTGTTGATGTGCTGCTTCTGAAAGATAGCTATGCCTTAAGATTTCCAATGCAACAAATCTTGTCTGCTAAATGATCCACAAACACAGTGCTAAAACTGCAGCTTGTATGTGCCGTATCTTTTGAGCAATTCCAAAAAGAAAACTCTGTGTGTAATTTCTCTTTTTTCTATAAAGCTAAGATCACCTCTCTGTTCTGGATTTGTGTTTCCTCACTCTCTTTCTCCTCGCTCTATTGCTCAACTTCCATCAGTCCATTGGCCTGAGGTCATGGCTACTCATGTAGATCCTATTCCTTTATCTGATACACCTCCTCCTCTGCCAGCTAAGAAACACCGCAGGCAACAACAGGTAACACGCTCAAAGCTGATAACTTGGGATTTTTTTGTTATTTTTATGGTGGCCGTGAAGTTGATCTACATGGAAAGATTTTAAAATGATGTGGTAGATCATAAGTTTGTGATGTTTTCTGAATGTTAAACTTAAAAGCACTGCTCATTTAAAAATGAATACAATGGGTTATAGGATGGTAATGATTAAAAAATCTCCTTTCTATGAATCGTCCAGAGGCAAATATTAATGTTTAGGAGCCATTGGAATTGTCAGAAGACTTGCAACAATAATATACCACTGGCTTCATTGAAATCCTGAAATTAATTTTTGTTATACATTTAAACGATGCCTTTCAAGAGCTGTATTGTTTTTAAGCTACTGGTTCCTTAGAGTAACTTGTAAGTAAATGTCTCTTTTAATTGGATTCTACTTGTACACTGGACTTGAGTTAAAAAAAATATAAAAAAAATTAGATACAAGGACATGTATACAAAAAGTGCACATGAATTTAGTATATTTTCTTAATCAGCATGCTTTTTTTGTTGTGATATTTATATAAATCCTATGTAACACTGTGAAGCAGGAGGTATTTCATTCTTTTCAGTGAAATCTCAGACTATTGCCTTCAGTATATTCCATATAGAGCATAACTGAGCAAGTAGGTCAATTCCTTATGTCAAAACTGTTCAACAAATTACATTTGAAGCATTTCAGAAATCTGGAAGAGCGAAAGAAACAGCACAGGGAATGCATGTACATGAGTGATACTTTGCCTCGCAAGAAAACAACTCCAACTGTGTCACCACACTTCAATAGTTCTACTCTTGGACGAAGCATTACATCTAAAGTACGTAGCTGCATGCTATTAATAGCCTTCCAGTTTTATATATAAAGCATACTGTGTTAGAGGTAAGGTTGAACAGCACTGTAGCATCGTGTAATCCCTCTAATTCATGTCTGACGTTGGCTGTGAAAGAAATTTGCATTTGTTAACATGGGAAAAAGCATGAAACCTTCCATGCTTCCAGCCTTTATAGTCACATCTGGAAATGTGGTGATATAATAGTAATCACATATTTACAATCAATGTATTTCAAGAACTTTACTTGCAAGTTAGCTTAAATTGATTGTAGAGACTCAGCAGGCTGCTTTCCTTTCAACCTCTAGCCAGTAAAGTTAAAATTATGTGCAAGGTTAGAATACTCCTTACTTGGGACGTGGTAAATAAAAAAACAAAAGCAAGGGGGAGATAATAATAGGCAAACATTTCTGTTTAATTAGAGACTGTTCAAAACTAAAATATTAATGGCTGACTCATTTGAGATGACAGTGATATTAAGGACAAAGCAACTTATTTTAACATTAGTTGCTAATTCAACAAAAGTTTTAAGCACATACTTGTAAATTTCCTGCAGGGACATTTACCATTAGGACAGAGCAACAGCTGTGGCAGTGTACTTCCTCACTGCCTGGCAACCATGACCAAAGAGTCAGAATCAAGAAGGATGCACAAAGGTAAGACTTTGATTAGTTTCTGTTAAAGCCAGCATTTGGTTGTTGTTGTTGTTTTTTTTTTTTTTCCAGAAAATAAATGTGAAATTGTTATAACTGTAATCATTGGGGCTGTAAAATCAAAAATCACTCGTTGTTGAAAAACATAAGCTCTCAATGTCATTTACAGATTTAGACAAAATAAGATGTTAAGATTATGGCATAGTCACGTATACAGATTTGGAGGACGTGATCATCAGAAGTACTCAGCAGAAAATAAAAGGATACACATTGAGTTAACTGGCTAACTTGACTCATTTGGGGACAATTTATTAAAAATATTACATCTTGTCTTATTTAGTTACTTTAAATGTTTTCATTTTGCAATTTCAAAAAAAAAAAAAAATTTTTTTTTTCACTGGCATATATTTTTTCCTGGATAAAGTAATTCCCTAGACAGTCATTCACCATCATAACTTGGAGCATGTATAGCTGTATAACCTCCCTTAAGTATTTGGGCTACAACATAGAAAAGATGTTTACCTTGCATAGGTAGCTGCATATTTGTAATAGGAACATGACAGTTCTGAACGCAAAAAGTACTTAATCTTTGAGACGTGATCTCTTAAACTGTGAAATCCTGTGTCTGCTGTTTGTCTATTTGAATTGATGCACTTAATTTTTTGCTGTAACAAAATGCATTATTGGTAACTGTCTCATCTTCAGAAGGAATTGCTCCTCAGTTCCATCTGTCAGTTCCATTTCTTTCTGGTGTCTGCATCATTACAAAATTAGTGTAAGAAAGCCTTACGTAGTGCTGACTCAGATGGAGCTGAGACAGCATCCATCCTGTCTTTATAGGAGAGCTCCTGTCAGAGCTAACAGGTGGTAAAAGTAAAAAAGCACAACTGAAATCAGCTATATGCACTCGAGTTCTAAGTGCATGTAAGGAACAAACTCGCTGAGAAGAGATCATGACTTACTACATTCACTTCATAGATCTGCTCCAGTTGGGATTTGTTCTTTTTGAGCTTTATTTGTGCAACAGGCCCTCCACAAACCTGCTGTGGTGGCTAATGTAGCTTGATATATTTCAGTTGCAATACAAAAGCAGCTTCATATCCAGCTTGGAAAGCTTTTGTGATATAATGCATTTGCCTGGGTGGAATAGTTTGAAAATACATTGAGACTCATCATTATGCTCTTGTTCTGAAAACACTTTATTTCATTTTGAAAATTAGTAAGAACTGCTTGACTAAATTCTGATGGCTATAGATTGTATGTTATATTGGAACTATTTCTAGAAAATGACTGCAAAAGATGATGTGTGGCCTAAAACAATTACAAAACCTAATGACAGTTTTTTAAATGGTTATTGTATTTTTCTTTTCCATTTTTGTCAACAGGCGGTTAAAAAATGAACCTAAGAGCATACGCAGATTTTTTATCTTTAGAGTGAAAAAGAAAGAAAGTCTCCAAAACTGAATTATGGATTGACAAAAAATGAGGCAGGATAGAGTGAGATGTATTGGTTAAGGCACTTAACAGTACTTGTCATATGCCAGGTACAGTATGTGTGCTGTACTGCTCTCCATACTGGAAGATGATCATTATTCTTTGCTGAAATGATTCAGCAATTTGAATGAAAATATTGAATTATAAAGAGAGCCTTTGGTGATTGATTCATACTGGGCAAGAGGATGGTTCTCAACAGCTTATTCTGACACGAGCTTTGTGAGAGAGAAATTATGTTGCTGTCAGGTGCTTTATTTGAAATCTCAGATTTACACAGTAAGAGAGAGACCATCGAAGCACAAAGAGGACATGAATACAAGGACGTATTCATGGGGAAGTTTTTTACTGAGAGAATAGTGAGGTGCTGGAACAGACTGTCCAGAGAGGCTGTGGATGCTCTATCCATGGAGGTGTCTAAGGCCTGGGCATTCTGATCTAGTGCTTGATCTAGCAGCTGGCAACCATGCCTGTGGCAGGGGGGTTGGAACTTGATCCTTGGGGTCCCTTCCAACCCAAGCCATTCTACAACTCTAATCTCTTTGCACTCAACAACAGAGCTCCCTGAGTTTACTTGTGTCAGAAGCACTTAAAGAGTGTAATTGCATTCTCTAGTCCTTAAAGCATAGTGGTTCTGGGTTGCAGAAAGCTGCTTTGTCTCAGCAGCGTATCACAGAAGTTTCTGCACTGCTCTTTCTCCAGGTCCCTATGTATCCTGTTATAGTGCAGAACCCAGCCAGATGGCTAGTCATAGCCTAATCCATGGGCTATAATGCAGCCATAGAATCATCTAGAATGGAGAATGCCTTCAAGGTCATCAAGTCTAATCATCTACCTGACCCACTGAGTCCAATATCACTAATCCATGTCCCTCAATGCCACAAATACATGTCTTAAATACCTCCAGATATGAGGTCTCCACCACTTCCCTGGGCAGCCCATTCCCTCTCCCTGAAGAAATCATTCCAAATATACTAAACTTCCTCAACCTCCTCTGAAGCAACCTGAGACCAATTCCTCATGTCCTGTCACTTGTCACCTAGTCCACTAATCATTCGTTGCTTTTTCAGCAGTGTCGAGAACCACTGTGCAAAGAGGCTAATGCACTCCTGAAGTGCTGGTAGCAGCTCATCACATTTCTCAAGTCTTAAAAGCATTGAGTCAGCTTCAAGGATGGGCATTTTAGTGAGTTTGTAAAAATTTGGAGAAAGTATATTCAGCATTTCCTGGAAAAAGTGGGCAGCTCAGCTAGTCACAGATGTTACAGAAGAGTTACCAAATTAATAATGGTATGAATTCTCTCTGACTGGCTTTCTCCAGTTTTTATTACTTCTATCTAAGAATTTAATATAAAAGTTTGTGATTAATAATTCAAAGTTTAAAATGAAGTCAGGGAATGAAGAAGAGGTACTCAAGTTTGAATGTGGTTTTCTTTGCGTAGGAACAAGTAATGCCTGTGAATAAGTTGAAGACCAGAATTCATGGAAACTCAGCAGGAATTTTTATTTATTTATTTATTTATTTTTGAAACAAACATAATCATAGAATGGTTTGGGTTTAAAGGGACCCTTAAGATCACGGAGTTCCAACCCCCCCTGCTATAGGAGGGATGCCTCCCACTAGATGAGGTTGCTCAAAACCCCATCTAGCCTGGCTTTGAATGCTTCCAGGGAAGGGCATCCACAGTCTTGCTGGGCAACCTGTTCCAGTGTCTCACTACCCTCGCAGTAAGGAATTTCTTCCTAATATCTAGTCTAAATCTATCCTTTAGCTTTCCTTTAGGCCCCCTTCAGGTACTGGAAGGTCGCTATAAGATCTCCTTGGAGCCTTCTCTTCTCCAGACTGAAGAGCCCCAGCTCTCTCAGCCTGTACTCACAGGGGAGGTGCTTTACCCCTCTAATCATTTTCGTGGTCCTCCTCTGGACCCACTCCAACAGCAAATAGTGACTGTCAGTAATCATTCTGAGTTAAGAGCAGCTTATATTGACATAAGTCATTCATGGGAAAATCTTTTTCTTAACAGCCAAGTTACTTGGAACGATTTGGAGACCAGTCACTGCACAGATAGAAATGGAAGCCCAAAAAGTTCCTGTGGGTTTTGGGCACCAGGAGCTTATGTGAGGACAGTGGGAGTGGGAGCCCATTGGTCAGCTCAGTCCCATGGATGGGGAGGATGGCAGGTGGCAAGCTGAAACAGGAAACTGGGCACAGTGCTGGGAGTAACAGTGCTGAGACACATGTTGGGTACCAGCAAAGTGGTTATTCATATGCTTCTTAGGCTTTACCAGAAAAGAGTAGACAGAGGGCAATGTCTATATTTAAAGACAAACCATGAGCTTTTCAAAGTAGTCTTCTTTTTCTTTTTACTCTTTTCTCAGGAAAAGCTAGAAAAGGTATGAAAGCATCTCTTTCCCTGGCTGCAACTACTGTCATTTGGCAAAAAGTACTGATTGCATCTGCACTGTCAAGTAGTTTCTGAAATCTTGGAAATTTTTGAAATCATTGTTCAATAATGATGGTTCTTCAAAAATTCTTTCTTTTTTAATGTCAAACAGACTGTCACAACAAAACTTCTGAGTAACACTAATATCTGCAGAGCTGCAGCTTGGCACAGGCCTAATTTTTTGCTTCTTTGCTCATAGTCAAACAAGTAGAGCAGAAAATCTGAAATTCTTTGCAGATCTGTAGGTGACAATGGCAAGGAAGACTTGAGTTTCCTACTTCGGCATGCTTCCATACAAAAATATATATATATTTTGACATGTTAATGTCTGTGCTTAAAAAAAAAAAAGAAGAAAGAATGGAAATAAAATGTTATGCCTGGACCTTTATTTTATGAAGTACTGTTTTTTAACATACTTGACAGTGTTGCTGTTAATAACAGCTTTTGCTTGTAGTTCTGACCTCTCCATGATTTTTGTGTAGTGGTGTATTTGGGTTATTTTTGGAGTTACATGACAAATACTAAGGATTTTTTTGATGATGTGGCTTTATGGATATTTGTAATATTTTGTTGAACAGCATGGCTATTAAGAGCATTAAGCTTACTATTTTACTATAGGGAATGCAAACTTGTGCAACAGGAAACATTTTTTTTAGTTCCTTTATGAGCTTAGACTTGCAATATTGGCTTGTGGGTAACTTTTAGTGGCTCCTAAAGGGAGTTTAATTTTTTTAATTGCATGTTCTGTGAATAGACCTGAATAGTTAATTCTCTAAAAACTTGATTTTGCATGTGTGATGTGTGAATGAGGCTGGAAATGAGACTGAGAGGCATCTGGGGATCAGTACACAGCTCATCCCAAGCCGTGAGCTGCCTGTTCCCTAGGGCACAAGGAGCAAATGAGAGCATTGCATTCTGCATCATTTCTGGAAACACATGCCATTTTGCAACCGAACCCCTGTGCTATATAGAGACATGCCTTGCAGTGTTTAGTTACATTTGCATGATTGCATAAGTTTAACCAACTAATATTTTATTTAAAAATGGGTTCTTTATCTTCCTAGAAAGTTGACTTTCCTTTAGGGAAAGTGTAAAACCGAAACATTGCTTTGTACCTTTAAGATGGGCTTATTTTTCAGTGTAATATAAACTATGAAACTAACATTTGCAGAAGGCTTAGTAGAAAAACATTCATTTGAATGCAGTTTCTTTCAGTAATTTATTCTTTCTCTTTTTCCATCATGAATAATTGAAAACCATTTCACAGGAGCAATTAGTCATTCCAAAGGTTCAAGTGTGAAAGGTAATTGTGTATCTGCAATAACAGCAGCATTTGCCATAATAATGGGAGGCAAGCACACTGCACATGTAAATCAGTAACATCTGTGTTGTGTGATGCTATTATCTATAAATGCTGAAGTGTATTTGTATCCTTTTCATTTTTTTTTTTACTAATCAGAGCAATTGAACTTCTACTGAAATGTATTGTTCTCTCAAATGGCAAGTACAATTCTATTAGTTCGTTGAAAACCAGCCTAAATTGTCTGCAAAAAGTCGTTGTACTGCATGGAGGGAAGTGAAATGGAAGAATGAGGAAACAATTGATCTGCTTGTAGGCATCATTTCCTTAGTAATATGCTTTGATTATATAGCTTTAGTCATGCTTTTATGACTTCTCTTTGGAGAATATTACAACCTTTCTAAGGTGGAGTTGTGATTCTTCGGCCCCTGAAATGAAATTCTCCCTGCTCTGTCATGTTCCAGAACATAGCAGACAGTTGCTGTGTAAATTCATGTGGAGAATAAGGCAGGAGAGCATTCCCACTTCAAGCATGTTTGCCTAAAAGCAACATCTTGATGGTGTCCAGTAAAAATTAGTATGTGAACACTGCTGCATTTGGATGTTTGTCCATACATCTTCCATGACTGTGTATTACTTAAATCTCTGTTTTCCTGCCTGAATAGGAGGTTTTCCTTTAGTCTAACAGTCATTCTTAGTCTCAAGCTCAGCCACAAGCTCATTTTCGGTCAGAATTGTGCAGAGAATAATATAAACTGTTAGCATCAAAGTTGTGAGGAAGTGCTATTCTTGCATGGATTCAAAGAAAAGGTGGGCAGTGAAGTTGCATTCATTATCATATAACTCAAACCTTAAAATATGTAAAATAATGTGAGCAGTTAAGACGACAGTTGTCTTTCTACTCTGCTCTACATTAGACAAGCTCAAAAACCTTTCAGTAAGTCTGTATAAATAATGCTGCTTTATTTACCAAAGACAATGGACAAATTTGATAAAAATAATTTGGAAGAAATGTTTATACAGGAGACGTAGTAAAAAAAAAAAAAAAAAGAAAGAAATTCTCTGTGGTCAAGAAGGGGGGATTTTTAGAAGGAATGACTTCATAGAAAAACAGAAGAGTAAAGAACTTAAATACTGTAGAACTTCATTTATGCTTTTATTTCAAGTCACTAAGCTCCAGGGATGTGTGTTAATCCCATAGAGTGCACTGCAGTTTCAAAATTCCAGGGAGGTACCCCCATGCTAGTAACTGATGAAGTGACAGGTAGCTTGTATTATTTCAACTGAAACTAAAAGTTGAAAGCACAGTTATCAGAAACCAAAGTTCCCCGAACAGACAAAAAGTAATGCACATTTAATAAGAGCAGCCATACAAATACTGATAAAGCCTTTGAGTATCAAGAGTTTGTTGGTTTTTTTAGAACTTAATCAGTGCTAATTCTCTTAGAGTTCTGAATTCAGCTACTTTACTTTCAGGATTACATCTAGTTTATGTGCATTACATTTTTTTAATATACATACAATAATGTATCTTGAAAAGTCAACTGTACTAACCTGCATATGTTTGTGTCTGTCTTAGAAAAAATGGTTTTTAAGGGTCTTACTTCAGTCATGATCTTGATCACAGAAAATTAAATCTAGGCTGGTATTCAAAATGCTTGTGCTTTTAACATGCTGTGTTAAGTCACAGAATTTCTGTGTGATATAGATGTTTCCTCTGTACTCTACAGGGTATAACCATCAACGTATATGTGAAAACCAAAGGCAGAAATCTCCTGAATTCTACAGCAGAACAGCATCTGAATCCAACGTGTATTTGAATAGCTTCCATTACCCAGATCGTAGCTACAAGGACCATGCCTTTGATACATTAAGCTTAGACAGTTCTGACAGCATGGAGACAAGCATATCAGCATGCTCACCAGATAACATTTCCAGGTAAATAATCTTCACTTCTGTTGTGTGATGGTCATAAGATTATAATTAAACAAGAGAACGTGTAAATGTTGATGCCATGGTAATGTAAGTGCTGCTAACTGGTAGAAAAAATGTAAGATCATTAGATAGGTATAATATTTGTGTAGGCCTTCAGATAAAATGATCGTCTTGTCAACAGACAATATTTAAACATATTTAAAGACGGAAGATTAAAAAATTGGAGAGACTTTGAAATAAGGAATGCCACACAGAAATCAGTGTCTGTCCTGAGCATCAATGCTGAAATCACTGACACTCTTTTCGGAGTGGGGTAATTCCTGAGCTTCCTGTGAGAGGAAATTTCTTTAAGATATCTGCCAGGGCTGAAGTACATTCATTCTGTATGTCCAGCATGTTAACTTGCTGAAATGCTTAGTAATCTTCTGGCAATCCTTTTTGCCCTTTCCCTTCTCTTTTCTGGGTCAGTAGAAATGAAGAGCTGATACTGAAAGGCATAGAGCTTTCCACTGCTTTTCTTATCCTCAGAGACTGACAGCACAGATGCTACAGTTGGAAGGAACATTAAGAACTTGCATTTAAAAAAACAAACAAGCAAAAAGCAAAACAACGAAACCAACTGAGTCTCAAAATTGTGCTCCAACAGTTTTCTTCTCATAGTCTGCTTTTAATGAATGTGCTTTCCTTTCTGCACACAGTTCTGTCCCAAGAGGTTCACAAGCATTGTGGAGGCTGATAATTAAATAAAACATCCTCCCAGGATTCAGAATCTCTGGTGAACACAAGGATGGCTTTTGGGGCTAGCATGTTGTTTTATTCAGCATCTGTGTCCTGTAACGGGACACAGATGTTAAATTGAGATGAAGCACCAAAATTTGTATTGGAAGAAAGATGCATAGTATTGCTTTTTGGCTGCCTATAGGCACGAGATAGTGCCCTTTGCAAGAAGAAGAATGCATTTTGGCAGAGGTTTTCAGAATGTTAACAGAGTATCTGAAGTGAATACTTCCACTCCTAAATACATATCTTCTTGTGGAAGCTAAGAGTGAGATGGAAGCACCTTCTCAAAGAGTATGAAACAACCTCTATATTATCGAATGAGTATCTGCTGAGCCACAATGGAGTTTACTCAACAGATTAAAATTCTGACAGATCATATGAAATAGAAAATCACTCCTTTATGTTGGACTTGTTTGGATTATTAATTACTAATTAATTATTAATTAAAGCGTCAAATCCTGAAACACTAGGGTGCCTATATTTTAAGCAAAGCATCACTGTGAATCAAAGGGCATAAACGATTCTGCACATCATGTGTCTGTGACATTTTAAGGCATTTATAAGTGTTTAAAGAAGAATTAGTCATTGCATTAAGCTGGAGCATTCCACAGCAGTGAGTATGGTAAATCTGTAAAATGAGATTTAATGAGAAAACTCCCATCAAATGAGGCCAGAAATGTAGCAAGTCTGTGTACTGAACCTGTGTGGTGATCTAGCAGCAACTACAGAGTGCACTGTAAATCTGTTTATCATCTACACATTAGGATCCCTTTGCTCTGAAGCAAGATACTTACCATTGCAGAGCTTTTGGGTCCAGGATGCAGAAATGACACCACCTTTGACAGCAAGCTGAATTTGTCGTCCAATCACCCTTTTATTGCAAGATAGAGCAAAATAGCAAAGGTGATAGCTATGTTGTGGTGGGCCAGGATCTAGCACACTTTGGGATCACCTTTATTTCCTTGGCTTGCCAGTTATTTTAACTACCAGACACTATCTGACACTGCTCTGTCACTGAATAGCTTTTAGAGATATCTGTATCAAGTATCTTCTGATGGTGAGCTTAGTGAGACAGAATGGACAGTCCATAGTCAGAAAGTTCTAAATCATATATTTAGATGCTACTCATGCAACCTCTGACAATCAGTAGCATGTTCTGTTAGGACATAATAAGTGCCTTCATCCATATTCTGTTATCTGAAAAAAGATGATGGATCACAGTGGACTGTCAGATGCATTTTAAGTATTTGAGTCTGTATTTTTCACAACTCCATGTGGAGAGTGTGTATCATACACTTTACAAGTCGTTTTGTTAGTGGCTACTGCACTGAATTGGATAAGAACAGTATCAACTCAATTCATTAATGGTTCGTGCAGTTTTAAATGTCAGGTATACCTTTAAATAACTGCTGCATTGTTTGTTTGTTTGTTTTTCATACAGTGCTAGCACATCAAATGTTGCAAGAATAGAAGAGATGGAGAGACTTCTGAAACAAGCACACGCTGAAAAGACTAGGCTGCTTGAGTCCAGGGTAAAACTACATTTTATGAGTAAAAATAGGAATGGACATTTTAGTTAGGTAATACCTTCCTAAAGATTGGACCCTAAGTAGCTTACCCCTAATTGAGACTTAAAAGAATTGCCTCTCCTCCTTTAATTTGGAATGGTTTTGTTATGGTGCTACATCTTTAAGCCCATACACATTAACTGCTGTTTCAGTGGATGAGCTCAGAGAGTTATGATTGGTGGCATAGAGTCTAGTTAGACCACTGTAACTAGTGGTGTTCCCCAGAATTTGGTGCTGGGTCTGGTCTTGTTCGGCATCTTCATCAGTGAGTTGGATGAAGCGATAGAATCCACCTTCACCAAGTTTGCTGATGATAAAAAGCTGGGAGGAGTGACTGATACACCAGAAAGCTGTGCTGCCATTCAGCGAGACCTGGACAGACTGCAGTGTTGAGTGGAGAGGAACCTTGATGAGGTTCTACAAAAGCAAGCCTAGGGGAGAAATAACTATGTGCACCTGTGCAGGTTAGAGGATGACCTGCTGGAAAAGTGCTCTGCAGAGAAGGACCTGGGGGTCTTGGTGGACAACAAGTCGGCCCTGAGTCAGTAGTGTATGATGATCTCTTGAGGTCCAGTCCAACCCCTATGATTCTCTGAGTTCAGGGCAAAATCTCATCTGAAGCTAATCAGCATTACTCCCATACCTGCTAAAAGAGTTGCTTATGAAAAACCATCATTTCTAGAGTGGTGATATTTGCATTTCTGATTCCAGTACTTAGTCCACTTTGCTGGATGTGTATTCCTGCCGACCAAAGAGGCAAAAAGGAGTTTAATCCTAGCCAGAAATGATATGAGGTACAGTTTCACATACAATTGTCCTGCATGTGGTCTGTTATTTAGGAACGGGAGATGGAAGCTAAAAAGCGAGCTCTGGAAGAAGAGAAGCGCCGCAGAGAGCAACTGGAAAAAAGACTGGAAGAAGAAACTAGCCAGAGGCAAAAACTAATTGAAAAGGAAGTGAAGATACGAGAGAAACAAAGAGCACAGGTGAGATATGTTGACGTGAAATTTTTTGGTGCAAGATTCCTACTATAGAGAAAGTGAGTGTACTTCTGCAAATGGTAAACAGAGTGACTTCCATTTAAATAAATGGATTTAGTATTTCTGAGGTACATGTGTCACTAGGAGTATGTTTGAGCCACTGGAGTCTTAGATGTCTGTATTTATTTAAAGCTAAATATTAGCTTAGATCTATTCAGCATCTTATATCTTAAGAATTGTTGCTTCCCAAATGTTTGACTGGAAAAAAAAAAGAGATAAAGATACTTTTTCAGTTCTGTGTCTTCTTTAAAGAAGAAACAGTATTTTCTTTAATGTTCTTGGAAGTGTGCAATATGGGAAACATTATTTAGTAACATCAGTATTGTCTCTGACATCATCTTTGTTTCAGGTTAGGATTTAGACATAGAAAGAGCTTTCTTTCTTACCTGTTTCTTTATTCTGCTACAACTAAGAGGATCTGCATGGTACAGCAAATAGACTAGGCAGTCATTTTATTGTTAGTATAGCAAGACAATGTCTCCATCTTAATTATATGAATACAGTAGATTTCATATCATACTTGAATACATTTCTGCTTTCATTGGTACTGCTTTTGCTAAATCTTTGTTTTATGAGTTTGTTTATGAGCAACCCCAGAGGAACTTTAAATATTCTTAACCTGAAACAGCTCATTCCTTTGTTTTCATAATGAAATACAATAAAAGAATATTAAATTGTATGTATAATAATTTCTTCTTTATATCTCTGAGATTTTGATGATAACTCCTTGAGATAATCAACAATCTCATGCTTATATCCATATCTGAAGTTGGAGCATGCTGTGTATTGTAATAAAATGCCCTATTGGGTACTGCTAACTGGGAGACTTAGCAGCGAGGCTGAAGACTGGATTGGCAGGAAGACAAAACCTACCTGTCAGAAAGGGTGATCATTTTCTTTGTATAAATGAAAGAAAAAAACAACGACACCTAATTTCCGGAGTTTTTCCCTTCTGTACTTCCTGATGGTTAGAAATGTCAAGTAGGGGAAGGAACTCCATCTTCACACTTACCAAAGCTAGTTCCAGCTTGTATCATACAGGACTGCATAATTTTAGAAGGGTGTTAAGAGTTCTCGCAGGCAACACAGCTCCCATTGCTCAAAGAGATTTCTTGAGAATGCAATGAGAGAAAGTCCCTTAGATTTGTGACTCACACTGGTATTTAAAATGTTAACTTTAGGCATGGAGCAGGGCAGATTAGGTTATCAATGTTCTCTGAAGTCAGTGTAGAGAAACTGCTTCCATGGGTCATTCAGGGCAGCTAACATTCTGTTCTGAACAGCCCTATGCTGTAGCCCCTGTCTGCCCTGACTGCAGCACGAGCCTTGGGAGATGAGTGGTCTTCTGCATTTAAAATGAATTTCTGTGTCCAGACCCTCTAGGTTCAGAAAACAGGCATGCTCCCTTTAGCTGGCAGAGCTAAATCACTCCTACTTATTCTCCCAACTTATCCTGTCTGTCTTAATACAGACATTGTCCTGAACTGTGACCAAGAATGAGACACCATTTCCTATGCTGCTTTGCTGTCTCTTGCAGAGGGATACACTTCAGCTATCTGTACTGTATTGCTGACTGCAAACCAGATACCATGTTTAATTAGTTCATAAGTAATTCTGTTTTGTTTACGGAATTTGTTAGGTTACGGTTCACTCTTTCTTCCTAATTTTCCTGTAATAGTATTTTCTTACTATTTATATTTACATGAAGATACCTTAACACTTAAATGAGTTAGATGTATCTAGCCCAGAGAAGTAATGGGTTTGCTTAACCTCATGCCAGTGAAGTTCATCTAAAACAGTAAGCACTCCTTTCACATTTAATTCATATTTTAGTTCTAAACCAGCTCTGTTTTGCCAGCATTTCAACTGATGATTTCAATAGATTTCCATGTTCTAAATTCACTTCTGTAAGGGATGCATATGCATCTATAAGGATCTTTCATTTAAAGAAAACAGGCTGCAGCAGAACTTATTTCTGTTATCTTCATTGTAAGAATGTATGGGCAGTTGACATGTAGGTCCTTGTAGTAGAAAGGGTGAAAGAGAAGTGAAGACTTCCATTAAAATAATAAGATTTTCGTTCCTTTGTTGCAGGCTCGTCCATTGACTCGCTATTTGCCCATTAGAAAGGAAGACTTTGATCTACGAAGTCATATTGAAACAGCAGGTCACAACATAGAGACCTGTTACCACGTCTCCCTCACAGAGAAGACCTGCCGAGGCTTTCTGATTAAGATGGGCGGGAAAATTAAAACATGGAAAAAACGATGGTTTGTTTTTGACAGAAACAAGAGAACTTTTACGTATTATGCAGGTAGGTTGCAGGACCGGTGTTAGGCTACATCTGTCCCTCTATTTTCCTCTCAACTCAGTTGTGTTATGAACATGTAGGGAGTCCCAAGTAAAACTTATATTTCCATTTTATTGAGTATTTTACTTGCACACTTGAGGAGGGTCCAATTGCTTTCTTATAGAGTTTAATCCTAATGGCCAAATGATGCAGTTCTGCCTAACAGTCAGAGGGAGATGTGGATAAGCAAAAGGAGGAAAAAAGATCACTGGATTTCTAGTACACAGTATATCGGCTCCATATAATTTATTTTTAAATGTTATATACTTTCCATAATGACAGAACAATTTATTGTACCTTTTGTAAAAGAGTAACATTTATGATATTTACCATTAAAATTAAACTGAATGTTTCTGCAATCCCCTCATTTAATGTGCTGAGAAGTGTTTCAGGGTATTTAATATACGAGTAGACTTGGCATTTGCCATGTTTTGAGAGTCTAAGGAGTTTAAAAATGAACAACTTGCAACAGTTGAGTTTTCTGTAGACTAAAATGTGTTATGGTATCTGGAGCCATTGTATAAACATTGCATTGTTACCTTAGGTCAAAACCAGATTTGGAATTTAAGAACTAACATATCTCACAGATTGCTGTGCAAATCTATACATAGTTTAATTTCTAAGTTTCAGAGGAAAGCAGAAAAATGATTTTACATTCTGAATTTTTACTGTTAGGAGAAGCCAGACAGGGGCATGATAATTTCTAAGCATCACAAGAAAACATCTGGTACCACAAAAACCCAAGCGATTCCATTTCTTTTTATGATACTATTGCTTTCCAGCAAGTCATGAGGAACTTAAAATTGATGATAGAGTTAAGCATTGCTCATCATCTTAAAAGTACATTGTTGGAATTAATTACATATCCAGTGATGATTCCTTACAAATTTGCAGTAATACTTGGAAGAATGTGACGAGCAAACATTCTATTTTACTTTGTTCTTAACATCTGGCTAGCAAGGCCTATAACATACAGTAGTGTCTTCATCAGGTACTGATTTTTTTTTTCTCAAACAGTTACCAGTTTTGGTTTTGAGTGCTGTACAGCTGCAACTTCAGCTACCAAAGAAAACTTCTCCTAAGTCACAAGGACACTAGCCCAGCAAACAGTTTCGTAAGAATTCTGTACCAGCTGGGCAAAAACACAGCTGCTTGTATGAGTGAGGATCTGCCCAGATCTTAATTGTATAGTAGACTTCCAAAATAAATTTTGGTGCTGTAAATTTGGAGTAATTGAATTCAAAGTACTGGTAGGTTGTTTTAGTTGTGCAAGTCTACTAAACCAAGAACTTGCCTAAAATCTGAAAATCTAGTGCAGTTGCTTATGCTGCATAAATAATATATTTTGCTTTAGTATTGTATTTAGCTTTTCATAGCACATGCTATAATGTCGCAGTCTTATACCTCAGTACTTCCACTGGCTTCTTGGGGGCAGAAAAGAAGAGCAAGTAAGAAGTGTATCTCTTGAGAGACGGAAGATTTCTGGGGAATTTCCCAAGCGGAAGCGTTAATCCGGTTACTTATCTGCCGAGCATGTATGAAAATGCAGAATAACATTTTGCCTCTTGAAGAACCATCCGTGTCAGTTTTCAAAAGCCGTCTTCTCTTTTCCATTTCAGATAAACATGAAACTAAATTAAAAGGTGTAATTTATTTTCAAGCTATTGAAGAAGTCTATTATGATCACCTGAAGAATGCATATAAGGTAAGCTTTGTTATTTTGACTGAGTATCAGGCATATGGCAGTACTCTAAGTATGGCAACTGCAGTAAAATCAGAGGGCATTGACATTATGAAAACAACAAACAAACAAAAAATAAAACAAAGTAGAGGCAAAGGAAGATGAGGCCAGAGCAGTGATAAGCACTGTTCTTTTATACTGCTGAAGCAGAGATAATAGAGCCTTCCTGCCACGTGATGGTCCCACATTGACAACTGCTGTAAGGAGTGCCATAGTCTGCTGCCAAGACCACTAAAATCAGTAGCTCTGGCAAACTAAGAAGTGGCTGCATGCAGCTATCATAGGGAGGGAGGTACCTGCTACCTGCTGCTCACATCTGCAATTTTGATGATCAGTCTGAATATGAACAATCTGAATATTTAGTACGTGGATTTGTGAAAGCCGAAGTGGTTTTGACCATTGAACATAATCCCTGCTGAAGGGGACTTGTTTGGGCATGAAGCAGCAGTTTGGATGCCTGTACTGGTATGTGATAGTCTAATGGAAATTAAAACATTTATACTGGATGGATATACTTTAAACACATCTTTGTTCCCAGAGCTGCAGTGTAGGATGCAGTGCCTTTTTCCCCCTTAGCCCTGCCCTAAATCTCCTTGTAAATAATTTTATTTCTGTTGCTAATAAATAGCTTTGGTTTTTCATTGTTTTGATATCCTTCTTTCTGCTTCTTTTTTTCTTTTAGAGTCCCAACCCACTACTCACTTTCAGTGTTAAGACACATGACCGAATATACTATATGGTCGCTCCTACACCAGAAGCCATGAGGATATGGATGGATGTTATTGTTACAGGCGCAGAAGGCTACACCCACTTCATGTTATAACAAAATGGGGCTATAGGGCATACTGCAATAACGTTAATGTATGAAGTCAGCCATATGTAGTAAAATCTGAAAAGCCACATAAAATACCAATGAATACTCTGAAATATCCTCCTTATGATGTGCAGCCAAAGCCTCAGGATGGAAGGGTTTTCTAAATGCACTGAAAAGGGGGACTTGCTACTTATTTTAGTTGATCTTTGTAGAGACAAAAGAGCTAAAGCTGTTGAGAAAGTCATAGTGCTCCAAAACAAATAAACTGGCCACTTATATGACAACATCTTGATTCAATGATAATTTTGTACCAATTGTCTTAAACAGAGAACATCTTCATCAACAGTTTACAAATGTGTGTGCTGTCATCAGTATGCAAAAATTCTAGTATCGGAACAAAAAGATGTAATAGCATATATTTTAATATGCAGCATTTGACATTTATAGATGATTAGGTGACTTTTAAAAACTTTTAGTCAAGTATTTTATAAAACTATGAATTAAAAAGCTGCCCTAAGGTACACACGGTTCTTGCCTTAGTAGTTAAGTATTACAACAGAGCCAAAGAGTTGTATGACTCCCTTATTGTAATATTTCAGATTGTTAGCTGTATTTAACTTCCTGTAAGGGGACAGTGCCAAAACTCTTCATGACTTGTACAAAACCATGTTAAACAACCCAGTGATACTGACTGTAAGTTTTAAGTCTATCTATGAAGCTCAACAAGAAAAGGACAGCTTTATAAAGATGCATTAACGTGGATTAACTTTGTCATTAGGAGGACTTTTGTAGTTTTTCGTGATGAATGGATCGAGCTGATTCTGGACCCAGCCATTTTATGTAGTCAGGACCCACCTGATGTGGTTCTGATCGTTCTCTGTGCCAAATGAACACTTTGCTGAAACCTCAAATGTTGGCGTCCATGAAGCAAGCATTGAAGTATCTACCTATCTAAATTTTTTGAAGCAATGTTTGTAGCCAAGGAGACTTTTTAAAAGTGCTTCTACTCAGAGTAATGCTATCAGAATAAAATGGAAAGGCAAGCTCTAATGGTTTACACTGAGCAGTGTATGGATAAAAAGAATGAAAATTTTAAGTATCAGGGATTGAGATTCCTAAGACAATAAAATTAAGGAGGATACAGTGGTCTCCTATTTAAAAATCACCAATTCCAAATCCTTGAAAAATACACAAAACTTAAGTGAATTGAACTTCAAGATTTCTCTTATTCTCTGACTTAAATGAGGTTCTATTTCAGTAATCAATACTTGTGCTATGTAATTTGTTTGTGTAATAAGAGAAAGCACATAAGACATTTTTCACGATGAAAAACTAATGGCTATTGATGAAGCAAATGAAAAACTGAAAACAAAACAAGTTTGCTGGCAAAATATTTTTGTTGTACTATGTCAATCCTGTATCTGTTAAGAAGGGGATGCATTCTTCCTTGCGAGGTATACACAGGTGATATGGTTGCTCTAGCATGACATTTGTCAGTTTTGACTTGAATCATGAAAGAAGGGACAGTTGTTGCAAGATAACTGTTATCATCTGTGCAGATCACAGCTTGTAATCCAACAACGTCAAAACACTATCAGAATAAATTGCTTTGGTATATGTAATTATTATTTTTCCCTGACATATCTTGATTTTACTTCTTAGTATAGTTATAAAGATTTTCTAATCATGATTTTTGTATCCTGCATGATGCAATGAAGGCATTTCAATAAACGTTTTTAAAAATACACTTGTTTTAAATGTTCACTTGATTCTTGATGCATTTCTGTTTCTCTTTTAAATGATATTTTATACGTTTGTGCAAGCAGTGTTGTGTTAATCAATAAAAATTTAACCATTCCGTGTGTTTCCCCATAAAAGAAGTATGGAAAATAATTTTTCAAATGAAGTCACAAGGGAAGGGCCTAGAAGGGAAGACATATGAGAAAGGACTTGAACATAAGCTATTTCAGCTGAAACTAAGATAGTATCCACCCCTTATTCCATACAGTCTCAGATCTCACAGTTTCCCATACATCCCAACTAATTGCCATCACCTATCTTGCTTTTTGATTTATACACACACCTATCATTCTTCTGCTCTCTTGGCCATCCCTGTATAATGTCTGTGGAGTTCATTAGTCCATGATTTTGAGCTCCACCTGCAGGAGAGATGATGGGTGGTATTGGATTACTGCATGCTGGAGATAGTTCTGTTCACATTTGTGGCTTTCCCTAGGTCTATTAGGTGGGTAATCTTACTGTGAGATGATTGAGATCATCGTCTGGCTCATCCAGTTGGGTGCACATACAGATTGCCAGGCATACGGCCAGGCACGCCC